GCGGTTCATTTCTCTGTCCCAGTAACTCTCTGAGCTAGACGCTGTTACCGCCTCCACGGGTGGTTTGCACACAGTCAGCCAGCTGGTGAGAGGGAGCCCTGAGCACCGGAACAACCCAAATGTCTGACAAGAGGCGGGGATGGAGGCTTGAACTGGCGATGCCCTTTGGGATATTTTACAGCCACTAAACATGCTGTTTGTCAAGAGTTTGATGTGATGTAGGAAGGCTTATAATATATGCTGGTAGGTAAAACTACGTGGAACGTAAAAATATCTATATATCTATCAAATGATGGGAAAAAATGTATATACCCAGATGTTAATGTTGTTTATCCCTGGGAAACAGATATGGATGATTGTCATTTTCTTCTCTGTAACTTTCCACAATATAGATATATATTATTTTTATAGTCAGGAAATTAAAATTCATGGTATGAAATAGGGCTACAAACCCGGCTTGAGCAGCAGACAGTGAACCCCCTACCATTCTATTCCAGATCTCCGAGAAGTACGGGTTTCCTGAAGAGAACATTTACAAAGTCTACAAGAAGTGCAAGCGGGGGTAAGTGCCCAGAACAGCTGTCACCCCATTCCCCCCACTCTGCCCTTTTCCCTCTAAAACGATGGCTCAGGGAGCTCCCAGTGGGTCTTCTCCAACCGGCAGAGGCCTGCTGCTCAGTGCTGAATGGTGTTCGTGCTTTGGCTTCGTGGAGAGGATAAGGGGACATGGAGTGGGGTGGAGAGGCCCCCAGTCAGGCCAAGGCCACTGGCACAGACCAGACGTTGATCGTTATTGGGAAGGAAAGGAGTGGGAGAGAGGGAGATGTGCAGAGCAGAAGATGTGCTGTGTCAGAAGACCCAGCTGCAAGTCCCAGGTCCACTGGATAACCGAGTCATTTGATTATAATGATGATGACAGTGACTACCATTCACACGACCACCTACTGTGTGTCAGGGACTGTGCTAAGCATTTCTCACTTAACCCTCACAGCCACACCATGAGGTAGATTCCATTACCTACAGGTCACAGATAAGGAAACTGAGGCTCAGAAGTGGCATGCAGTGTTCAGGGGCAGGAGCTGTGGAGTAAAGGGTCAGAGGCGGAAGGGCCCCGCAGCGTCGCTGTCTGCTGAGTCAGGGGTTAGCGGGGCAAAGGAGTGGCCGGCCATGTCCCTGGAAAGGGGAGCTGTGATTGCTCTGCAGGCCCCCTCCACCTTCAGGTCTGCATGAGGCAAGGTGAGGAGCGAAGCTTCAGCTTCTGAGGGTTGAAGGTTGAGGGTTGAGGGTTGGGCAGTGCCTGCCACCTACCGTGGGCTCCTGGGGATTCAGACTGAGGACGGCAGCACTCTTTGCTGTCTGCCAGGGAATCCCTCAGCATGGGGGGGATGGAAGGCCACACGGTGACTGCCCTCCTTCAGCCTCCTGCTCAGAGCCAGTGAGCTGGGCCTCTGCAGCCCTTACTAACTGGGTCACTTCACCAGCCTAGCATGGGGAGTAAGGAATTGCTACTGCCATTCTCTGCCCAGATGACCTAGGACCAGGACTCAGGGAAACACAGCCAGCCGCCCTGGCCACAGCCCCCCTGCCCACAGCCCTGACCCGGACAGTCTAACTCCAGCTACACGTGCTGGCTACCCCTGGGAGCTGCCCAGGCATTGCCCCCGGCTACTGTCTGTGGCTTTTCCTTTTTAGAAGACTTTGCAAAGTAAGGCAGGTTTTGGACTCAGACTGAGGCCCCATGTCGTCAAGCCCAGGGAGGCCTCCTCCTTCACAAGCTCAGCCTCACCTCCCTCCTCCTTTCCTCCCTCCCTCCCTCCTCAGGTTCCCACCCCGCCTCCCATAGAAGGGCAGGGTGGGGGAAAGGTGTGCGCCCAGCAGCCCCTGGGAAAAGATCCTTTTGGTTTTGGTTGTATGAGTGTCTAGGCTTTTTGTGTGTGTTTTTCTCTTCCAAGTTTCGGTTTCAAACTGGGGCTCATACATTCTCTGGAGCGGAATCCAGCTCACAGCAGAGGGCAGGCTCTGCTTTGCCCAGACAAGCCCAGCCACACTTCCCCTCTGGTGCCAGTGCCCACGGCCCCTGGCTGCAGCCCCACCAGCAGCCTACCTCTCTTACAGATCCCACCACAGGCTGGGCTGAAGGGCTAGGAAATGCCCTTGTGTGCGATTTGGGATGTTGGGGGATGATGTGTGCTAGCTGAGTTTGCAAGTCCTTCTTTTAAGCCAAGCCAGCCATTTAAACCATAATTATAATAACTCCCATTTGTTAGCTCAGCTAACAAATTAGCTGGGCTAGCTAACTCCCAGGCATCGTCTCATTGACCCTTTGAGTTTGGAATGATTACCTCTATTTCTATGGAGGAGGAAACTGAGGTTCTGAGTAGTCCCAGGATCACAGAGTTAGTGACTGGCAGAAAGAATCCTGGCCTGTCTAAAGCCTGTGCACACGCTCACCATTTTATCTTGCCTCCTGCTTGTTCCTCTAATCACTAAGCAATGTGCAAATAAAGGCTGTGGCCAGGCCAGCCCTGTAGCCCAGGGTGTCACTCAGAGGCACCCCACACCCCATACACACCCCCAACCATGGAAACCTCAGGCCTAGCATGATCTGAGAGGCCTAAATGAGAAGAGTCCTCAAAAAAACCTCTTAGGAAAAGCCAGGCTCATCGGCCACCACCTTCAGAGGAATGAGAAATCTAAGCAGTGGCCTAGTTTATTTTCATAAAACCCTCCCGAAAGTCCTCTGGACAAAGGTAGATAAAATCAGCCTTATAAGCACCACTGAATGCTTGAAAGATTAACAAATACATTGTTTTTGCTGGCAGCTGGCCAGGGGTTTCATGCGAACCAGGACAGAAGACAGCTAGAAGCTGGCAAGTGACAAGAGGCCCACATTCTGGGACAGCGGCTCTTGACAAGCCCCTGCCTCCAGGGCCCAGTTGTCACTGACCTCTGAAGGGAAGGGGTCTGTGGGCCTCTCTGGGATCTCTTGTGCACAGGCGTGCACCTGGGCCCACTGGGAGGCCCTGCCTGGGAATGAAAGGGAGGCAGTCTTCAAGTTTGTGCACGTAGGCACTTACGCAGCGCCCGGCACCTAGACGCACCCTACCACCGGATGAAACAAACAAAACCCCACCGTTTACAAAGCGCCCACCCCTCTCTGCCCCAGCCCTGGTCTCCTGTAGCCCCCAAACAAAGATCTCTCTGTGAAATGAAGGAACTGCAAACAGGACCTGAGGAAGCAGGAACCTGTAATTAAATTCTGGCAGTCAGCAGCACCCAGGCCTCAGAACCGGAGCCCAGACCACTTTCCAGAAAGCAGCAGCTGCCTGGTGCTGCTGCAGAGACAACCGAACGTAGGCAGTAGGCTGTCTGCATTGCCCTTCCCAGCATAGGCATTGGGGCGGGGGAGTAACACAAGCAAAGCAGATGGCTACTTGCCAGGAACTGTGGTCTAAGCGTCTCACCCCCAACACACACTCCTTCCTGCCCCACTTAAAGTAATCTGGCCCTCGTCCGAACTCTCCCTCAGCCCTGAATTTTGCCTTTGTTATATATGCCGCTTCCTAATTTGTATTTTATAGGGTTTTTTTCTTTCTAAAAAAAAATGACATAGTAAAAAAAAAAAGTTTGGATTCAAATCCCCAGCTTGGCTTCCTGCCCCACTTAAAGTAATCTGGCCCTCGTCAGAACTCTCCCTCAGCCCTGAATTTTGCCTTTGTTATATATGCCGCTTCCTAATTTGTATTTTATAGGGTTTTTTTCTTTCTAAAAAAAATGACATAGTAGAAAGACAAAAGTTTGGATTCAAATCCCAGCTTGGCCATCTGTTACCTGCGTGACCCTAGGCAACTGACTTCACTTCTTTGAGACCCTGCTTCCCCATCTATGAACTAGAGTAATGGAGTTATAAGGATTTGTTCTCCCAGACCCTCCTGGATTGGACACTCTTGGAGGACAGGATGTAGGATCTCCATGTGGCCCTTGCTTTTGTTTGGAGCAAGGCCCTGTGTGTGGAAAGGTCTCAGCAAATGCTGGTGGGGCGGATGGATGAATGGATGGATGAAAATACTCAATCCCATAACAATGGGACAACTGATAGGATCGGGTTGAGTCATGTCTTCGTGAGTCTTCACTGGGGAAGCAGCTCCCAGCGGGGTGCCCTTTGGCATACACTCTGTCTTTGACCCCCCTGCAGAGGGCTTGCAGGTAGTCTTGGAGGCTTCGTCTTCCTCAGGTTGGCCCAAGTCCTTGCCGAAAGAGCGTGGAGGGAGAGAGGGCCATGCTCAAGTCTATTGTACCAAGCCTGAGATTTCAGCTTCATGGGGACGGAACTTCAAGTGGGCTTGTGTGGCACCTACCTCTGGCTCAGTCAGGCACACCTGAGTGACACATCATAGTCTCCCGTTGAACCCAAACCACACCGGTCCACCCACCACACCTCCTGCACTTGAACTCACACACCGTGTCCGAGTCCTCAGTCTGGCCTGGTGACTAAGGAACTCTGCCTCTTCCCCAAATTTACATGATAGTTGCTCAAAAGTGTCCACACACGTGTATGCTAGCAGAGGCAACCTAGGTAGGTGAGCATGGTACCTGGCCGGCCTACGCTCGAGTTGTGGCTTGGCCACTTGGGCATCATGCCCTCCCCTATTAGCGGGACAGTGAACACCCACTTTGTGGGTTATTATGAGGGTCAGAGAGAAAGTCCGTGAGGTACTCGATAGGTAATAGCCATTAGTATCATCCTTGCCACTCAGAGGCCCTGGAAACAAGGGGCCTCCCACAGTCCGGTCACATCTCCTCTTTTCTTCTAGAATCTTGGTCAACATGGACAACAACATCATTCAGCATTACAGCAACCATGTCGCCTTCCTGCTGGACGTGGGGGAGCTGGATGGCAAGATTCAGATCATCCTGAAGGAACTGTAAGGACCTCTCGGGAAGCTCCAGGCAAGGAGCCAGCTGCGAAGTGGCCCCACACCGCACACAACCTCTCTTCATGCCTCAGTGCTGTTACTTGAATGCCTTCCTTGAGGGAGGAGGCCCTCGAGTCACAAACCCACAGACGTCAGGGCCAAGAAGGGACCTGGGAGGTGTCCTGAACTGAACCCCGACTTCATGCTTGAATCTACTCTCTGAACTCTTGCCGGTGCCTGCCCAGCCAGGGACAGTGTCATCTTGGTTAATGCACTTAACAGACTGTGTCCCCTTCAAAAGACCCTTTCGTGTGGTCGAGCTGCAGGCCGCCTGTTGAGACGGTGGAGGTGGACCTGCTGCTCTCCCAAAGCTGACTTGACCACTGTCCAGCTCCCATTCCTCGTTATTCCATTGACTTCAGGCCAAGGATTGCTCTCATTTTTGCCAGTTAACTTGAACACCTTTGATTTTCAGTGCAAATGACTTTTGCAAGACACTGGTGGACACACTCTCTCCTTCACAGACTTCCTCCAGACCAGATGTAAATAATGGAGCTGATGGACCAGAACACAGTGGATGCTGTATAAACAACTGCCATGCTTGCTCACTGTTGTACACATTTCTTATTTACAATTTTCACTTACTTTATATATATATATAAGTATATATTGTACATACATGCAACATTTTATATTTTTCATGGATACATTTTTATCATTTCAAAAAATGTGTATTTCACATTTCTTGGACTATTTTTTTAGCTGTTCAGTTATGCATTTTGTATACTCATATAGTATTTAGTAATAAAATTCTGCCTATGTATTACTTCAAAATGCCACACTTGTTCCTTTTGTGAAAGTCTTCCAGGAAGAGAGGGTGGCAATAAACAAGGCCCATCTCCTTCTCTGCCCTGTGAGTGGTTTGCCCTGGACTTGAAGGATGGTAGTAAGTGCTGGGCACTGGCGAAGCAGAGGTGCCCACCTGGAGGGCAGCAGAATCCCGATGCCCAGATCTCTGTCCTGCACAGTCCCACAGGTGGAATCTTATGACCTTAGAATCATTAACTGGTCATGAAGAAGTCCTGGGAAGGGACCAGGATGACCTTGCTGAGGACGTCATAGCTGGGGCCAGTGGGCAGTGCCCAGGGCTGGGAGCCACGTGACCTGACTTCTCGTGCTGACTCTGCCCCCATGTTCTTGGCTAAGTCATTTTCCCTGGAGCCTGCTCACCGAAGCGATTGTGCCCAATGCTTCTCAATTCAGTGGTCAGTGACATGTTGGTGGGAGTATTTACACCACAGGAACTGACAAACACTACAAATCAAGGCCTTTTCCCCTCTAGAGAACAAATCACAAATCAAGCCTTCCTTCTTCGCTCCCTCCCTCCCTCTCCCCCACACTCCCTGCCATTTTATTTTTAAAAACTGCATTGAACTCTGATTTACCTTGATGACTGAGTTCTTTGGCTTCTCTTAATTTTCCCGCTTGAGGCCAGCACCTCGCTTGCCCGACCCTAGTCCCGGCCCGGACTCCAGGCAGGGCCTTGGGAATTTGGAGCATAGACTCTGACTGCCAGGGCTAGGAAGACCTTAGAGACGTCCATGATTTTCAAACTTATTGTTTTTTAAGTTTTGTTCAGACTAAAGTTTATAAGAAACCCCAATCTGTAAACGAAAAAAAAAGGAAAAGCAGAACTTCTATGATTGAAGTCTGGAAAGGTACTCGAGGGCTACCTGCTGTTACCTCACCCACATCATGGTGGCCTTTGAGACCCACCAGTCAACCCCGGGGCTTTAAAGATGATAGTTACAAATGACCCAGGTAGACCATGCCCCTCATTTTAAATCCAATGTGCTGGTGAGCCAGGGAAAGAAGGGAGGGAAGGAGAGAGGAAGGGAGAGAGGGAGGGAAACAAATGGAAGGCCAGATAAATAGTTGTACGATGAAGTATATTTTTTAGACCCTTGCTGCTCTAAGTGAGGTCCGTGGGCCAGCAGCATGGCACCACCTGGGAGCATTTGAGAAATGCTTACACCTAAAAGTAATGCAATGTTCTGTTTCAATTATATCTCGACTAAAAAGAAAGAAAAAGAAATGCAGACTTTCAGGCCCCACCCCAGACCTACAGAATTTGCCTTTTAACGAGCTCTCCAAGTGATCCGTGTGTACATTAACATTTGGAAAACACTTTATTTGGCTATCAGTGTATCCTGACCCTAACTAGACACATTATCATCACATTGAGAACTTGACTGAAGATACCAAAGCCCAGACCCTACACAAATCAGAACTCTGAAGGTTGGAGCCTGGGCCTGTAACAGGTCCCAAGGTGACCCTAATGTCCAATACAACTGGGGCTTGAGATGGACTGGGCTGTACGGAGCTGGGACGGAGCTGGACGGAGCAGTCTGTCACATCCTAATAGAGGCCGGATCCAATCAAGACCCTCTGAGCTCAGGCTTCAGCTCCAGCCACGTCTTCTGTAGAACGTGGATTCTGAATGGCCAAGAGCAGCCTTGCTGTTCGCTCCCCAGACTTCCCTCTTTCCTGACCCCACTTGGAGGGTGCTCCTTCTGGAGAGAACTTCTTCACCTGCCAGGGCTCCACCCAGCTGCTCAGGAGGCCTATTTTGTCTTCCAGTGCGTTACCCCCAGCCTCTGCCCGCAATGTTCTCAGAGCCAGTTGCTTCCAGCCCAGTGGCCTGCTAAGGTCCCCCAGAATCAGAGAGACCTAAAAACCAAAGCCTTGGAGTCTGGCCCCATTGTCAAGAGTCTGGGGGTCAAAGAAAGATACAGCTCCAAGTGTCAGCTTTGAAAGAGTCTTCCAGAATGTACAGCACCCAAGCGGACAACTGATGGCCCACAGAAGAGTTTCCTTTAGCCCAAACCAAAAAAAAAAAAAAAAATTAAGTTGAAATATGGTTGTAAACATCTCCGATCAAGGGATTACACATTTTAAAGATTTCCCAGATTCTGTTGGGAAATCTGCTGATCTGGCAACGGCTAGCGGGAGCCCTGTTGGATGCTCCTTGATTTGAGCAGCAGCCTCGGCTTCCAAGTGCCCACCCATCCCTGCCTGTTTTGCTCTGGGCATTGCCAGCCCCTGGAAGTGCTTGACTTTGAGTCCTCAGGTTCTAATCCAACTCTTCACTTCAGGAGAATATAAGGACCTGAGAGGACGAAGCACAAGGTGTCCTGCCTTTGGATCCAGACCTCCACTGCTCTTCCCACAGTGCTCCAGCCACCTTCCATCCATCCCAAAGCAATGGCGCATTTGCGGGAATCCGAGGGTCACAAAAAGGCCAGCTTTTGTGAGAAGCAAGAATTCAGTTTAATTAGATAAGTTATTCTGTCCTTCTGCCTCCCCTGCCTCATCCGCCTCTCCCGAAATGGAGAGCCATTCAGTGGCCGGTTCTGACATGAAGGCCCAGGATGTGACATTCTCAGAGAAAAGTCAAAAGAGGAAGCAGAGGGGAAGTAAGAGGCCTCGGGGATGCAAGGAGCAGAGGAGAGAGGGGATGAGAGAGTTCTACTTACAAAAGTGAGAAATATCATCAATATTTGGGGGAAGGACGTGATGTGTGGCTACTTCTATGTCCTCGTGGTTCTTTGGGAATCATTTCCTCTTGCCAAGGGGAAACGATGCGGCAGGCCAGAAAATATCCATGAGAGATTGTGTCAAACTTGAGAAGGAGGACGGGGAGGGGACGGAAACCAGCCCGGGGAAGGGGGGAGGTGGGGTGAAAGTAAGAACGTGCAGGCTCAAGGTGTCATGTGGCTTCTCAGAACCTCTGTTTCTAGGGCTCTGGCTCCAACAGGATCCTGCCCACATCTGCTGTTGAATACAGAGCCAATAAATGCACGTGTCAGCCTCTGCCGAAGGTGGGTGCTGAGCACAAGTGACCCTGGGGACTGGCTGCCGTGCTCTTCCTGAAGGTGAGATGCAAAGGCTTAGCTGGGGGCAAGGGGCCCAGGCAACCCTTTTGTGTGTCTGTCACAGCGTGTCTGGGCCTTCCTGCTCTCCGGCAACTCCAGGAGGAGCCTGGAAGCCCAGGCCAGGACTGGGTGTGCCTGGGCCACTGTGCTGTGCCGCCCACCCTGCAGGCGCTCTCTGGGCCCCTGAGCCCTTGCTCAGCATCAGGCTTCCAGGCGGGGCATCCACCCTGGAGTCCGAACTTCAGGAGCCCCTTGCATCTCATGAGGGGAGATTTCAGCCAGCCTGGACAGGTGCATGGCGAAGCGACTGAGGGAGGCTCTGTCCTCTCCTCATCTCTGTTCAGGAAACTATTAAAGTCACTGGGGGTGGGGGTCCAATCGCCAGGAGGCAGCTCAGGACAAATGCAGCAGCCCAGCCGTCACACCAGACCAGCGGTGTGGCAGAGCTGTCACACATAAAGTACGTGTTCTCTGAATGAACATCTTGGGGAACCTGGCTGGGGCAGCTGGTGGCCAGGGCTCTCCCCACACCTCGGTGAGGTCACAACACCGGGATCCACTTCTTGTCCTCGTTGTAGAGAAAGGACTGCTTTCCAGGGAATTCTGGCTTGTACGTGGCTGTGAGGAAAGAGAGCAGCAGCATTAAGATCTTGAGAACACGATCTTAATGCCTTTCATTCTATGTCATAGCTGGCGAGGTCAGCTGGACCCCTGTCCCAGCCCCTGCGTCTTACACATGGGGAGACAGAGAGAGCAAAGGGCTGGCCCAAGGTCATCCGTCTCTTAACTGGCCCAGGCAGCTCTCAGACTCCAGCTTCCCGCCTTCTTTAACTCTTTTTAATTTCTTTAACAGAAGAAAATTTACAAAAGCGTTTCTATGAAATTTGAAGAAAAAAAAAATTATCGAGTAAAGCAACGCTATCAAAGCAGTAAGGTGTCAGGTTGGTGGGGTTTTGTTTTGATTTAGTTCAGAAATTTCCAGGAAAGTGAAAACCATGACACTGCAGGATCTCTAGGAAACCAGCGGCCAGGACCACACAGGGCTTGGGGACCACAACTTGGGGTGACTGGAAATTCTCATATTGACATTGGTTTGGTTAATGAGGCGCCATGTAGGGCCTCTGCTGGTTACCTGGGAAGCGCTGAGGGGAGCATATGGCAGTCCAGAGAGATCCGCACCCACTAGAAGCCGAGAAGGCAGGTGTTCGCATGTGCTCACGCCCAGGAGGCCCCTCAGGGAAGCCCACCTTGGCATAGGTGATCGCAGAAGCAGGAACTGGCCTGCACCTGTGTGTCAGGTGCCTTGCATCATGCACAGCATGAAGATACTGAGAGAAAGCTCCTAGAGGACTGCGCCGAACAGGGTCAGACAAGGTCCCCACTGGTCCCCAGGCCTCCTGAGACCACCCAGTAGAGCTCACCACTCATATGGAGCATTAGAACATTTACTGAGCCAAACTGAGCTCTTCCCAGACTGACCAGATGACCTTAAGATCAAACCTCTGCAGTCTTGTTGGCTTGGTTACATTTCCAAGGCCGAAGCTGTAAGAATGACTTTCTCCCTGTCCTGACAACCTTACATTCTACTGACCTGTGTGTTTGGAGGAGGAGGTGTCTCCCCTACCGTGCTAACACCTCTAGGGGAAACTACCAGGCCTGAGGCATCTTTGCCTCCGCAGAATGTGACCATCATCCATGCTCATTGAAAGACTGAATTTAACAGACCTGGCAGCCACTGCAGCTCCGCCTTCCTCCTCTCATGCCCCCCACCCCACCAGCACTTCTGTCAGTCCCCAGTGCCACCAGCTCCGGTGTCATGGAGTGGTAAATAGCTAAGGGGCTCTAGAGAGCTACAAATAGGTCTGGGGGTATGAAGACCATCCACCAGAGTGAGTCCCTAATGCTAGTAGCTCTCAGGGAGATCCCAGAGGTAACGGGGTACCACTGCTTAAGCTCATCTGTGAAAAGGGAGTGGAACTAGGTGGCTTAAAAGAGCAGCTCCAGTGACTAGTCCCTGGTTTATTTCAAGACAAACCAGGCAAAAGGGTGGCGCTCTGCCCCACCCCTTGCTCACTGAGGATGTGCGGACAACTTCCTCTCCAGGCCGTCCCCCATCTGTGAAGTGACTCGGCCAGACCAGCCCAGTGATTTAAACATTCTGAAGAACATGAACTTTTTCGACAACCTGACAAAAGCTCCTTCCCCCAGAAAAATAATGTCTGCACACTCTAAATCTGCAGACCATGTCGGGGTCACAGACCCCTTGGAGCCCATCGTTAAGCCTCTTCGATGTTTGAACCCCTGGCCTGGATCATCTCTAAGAGCCCTTTCACCTCCAAAAACAAACAAGCAAACAAACAAAACAAAACCCCAAAAAACTTTATACTCTGAAAACGTAAAGCTGAAAAGTCTTCTAAATCTACTCTAACCCCTGTAACCTGTTTGGCAAAGAGCCTATAAATCAGTGGCATTTGGTGGCCCAGGAATGACAGACAATTCCAGATTTGGTTTTCACAACGGTCTGGTGTTTTTAGAATCCTCTGACCTGGGCCAGGCAGGCCGGGCTGGGACGGTGCCATTGTCCAGCGGCTGGTGTTGGACACGAAGGAAGCGCTGGAGATGAAATGCTTGGGGGGCCCCGCGTAGTCCACGATCTCATACTGACCAGGGCCTGGGAGAGACGGCTTCGCGGGCAGAGGCAGGGGGTTGGCGGAGAAGTTCAGGATGGGATTTTTCCTTCAGGAAAGACAAAATGTGAGGACGTCACTAAGGCACTCTTTTGGGAAAATGGTAGTTTTTAGACTTAGCAGAGGCTGGCCCAGCACCAAGTCGTCTGCATGAGGACTGGACATGGCATTGACACCTGTTTCTTCTCTGGCTCCACTGCTAGTGAGCGGGGGCCTTGTGTCTTAGTTTCCTCTTCTGCACAATCGGCATCATAATAGTACCTACCTTGTAGGCTTGTTGTTAGGTTTAAATGAGTTGATACATACCTAAAACACCGTACTGAAGACAGAGCCCAGCACCAAGTGGGAGCTCAGTACACGTCGCTGCTGTCATGTGATTGAACTAATCAGGAATGGCAGCGTTTGTCTCATCGCCAACTCTGCTCGACTGTTAGTACCTGGCTAGAGATTTGTATAAAGAACTGAGGCCTCTCGTGAGCCCTGTGGGAGGAGCATGGGTGATCCACTTGTGATGTCTGCTATGGCCCGGGAAAGGAAAAGAGCATCACACATTCCAAGGATTTGCTGTCCCAACACTAGTAGATCTCTACAACATTCCATTGTTGACATTTCAGAATCCTACCAAACGTCTTCCTGGCAAAACAGGATGTGGGAGTGGAAAAATATGGGGTTGGAATTTAAAGGACTTCTATATATAACACTCACCACTTACAGAGTAATTTGTTTTCGGGTCTTTCTCCCCCCTCCTTCAGGAAAGGGGGTCTTTCATGTCTGGTATTAAGAGAATAAATGAAAGAGAAATGGAACCTGTACTTGAGCCCTAGTTCTGTCACTAATTCACTCTGGGCCTCAGTCTCTCCATCTGTAAAATGAGGGGTGTTGGACATGACGATCTCTAAGGTCCCTTCCAGCTGGGACCTTCCATCCTTGATTCAAAGAGGTCCACTGGGTTGCCCAGGGAATGCTGGGACTTTTATGGGAGTCACGCTACTCCCTGGCCGTGCAATAGAAGGGCTGCCTACTTCTGCTCCATATCTGAAGCTTCCTCTAAGGTTTCTGCACTGGACAGCCACAGGAGACACGCCAGCTTGAAGCCAACCTGTCTGAGCAGGGGAGGAGACTGGGATTCCTGGCCATTGGACATCTGCTACCCTTTAGCCAGCACCTTCTGGAGCAGAGATGTTCTTAAACTCAGAGAGTTTGAGGGGACTTAGAGATGTTTTATCCAACTTCCTTATTTTGCTAAAGAAGTTGGTGCCAGAGAAAGCAACTCATCCAAAGAGCAGAGCATGTTAGTGGGAATGCCTGGACCAGAACTCGACTCTCAAGTGCCTAGCAATTTGGCAAAAGCATGATGGCAGAAGGGAATTTTTGAGTTTTAGAGTCACACAGACCTGAGTCTGAATTCTAGTCATGCCACTCACTGGCTGTGAGACCTCAAACAAGTTCCCTGACCCTTCTGTACCTGCAGCAAGGCTCAATAACACCCACTCTTGATAAAAGAGTGGTTGGAGAAAAGGCATATAAGGCACCTAACATGTGCCAGCACATAGTAAGTGTTCAATAAAAGTAATTATTATTATGATCCCTGCAGCAGCACCACTGGCTGCTTGGTCTCAGAGGAGCAGCAGAGCCTCAGGAAACGGATATTAGGGGACTCCCTCACACAGAGTTACCCTGAGGCAGTGACACTCCCACTGCCAGGGAGGCCTGTTGAAAGCCACCATAAATTTCCTAAGGCTCACATCTTATGACGGAGGAACAGCTGGTTTGGTTGCTTATATTTAGAACAAAGGTGCCTATAGGAAAAAGAGAAAAAACATTCCTTCTTCTCCTCCAGCTGGCTTAGAAGAACTGGTTATGATGTGGATCAACCACCTCCCCCTTACAAATAAAAGCTGGCTGCTCCTTGTTCTGGCTTGGGTCACTCCTTCAAAGAACCCCTGGAAATTTGATGAGTATGTGACTGGCATCATTTGATGAATATATGACTGGACATTAGAGCCAGAATGAGCCAACTATTGTATGAGGTCACCCAATTGGTCTGGGTCACCCCCAAGCCCAATTGAGAAGACCATGAGGTGTCTTCTTTCCTACCCAGGGACAGCCAGCAGGAGGCTGGGCGGGCTGGCCAGTGTCTCATCATGATCTTGTCGAGAATGCGTGAGAGAGGTCCCCAAGCCTCAGGGTTGTTTCAAAGAGTGACTAGTGCTTTACTCGTATTATTATTTAACAAATATGAAATGTTAGAATAGAGATAGAAACTGCATTGAAAGTAGAGAGAGATGGGGGAGTGGGGGCGGGGAGAGAGAGAGACAGACAGACAGACAGACAGACAGACAGACAGACACTAATTCCAAATGAGAGAATCCAGAAACTACCCTAAGAGAGACAGCATTTGCCCTGAAAGGTGCTTAAGCAGGAATTCCTCAGGTAGAAAGGTGGGGCGCGTGAGAGAGGTCCCCAAGCCTCAGGGTTGTTTCAAAGAGTGACTAGTGCTTTACTCGTATTATTATTTAACAAATATGAAATGTTAGAATAGAGATAGAAACTGCATTGAAAGTAGAGAGAGATGGGGAGTGGAGCGGGGGAGAGAAAGAGAGACAGACAGACAGACAGACAGACAGACACTAATTCCAAATGAGAGAATCCAGAAACTACCCTAAGAGAGACAGCATTTGCCCTGAAAGGTGCTTAAGCAGGAATTCCTCAGGTAGAAAGGTGGGGGAGGGAGCATTTCCGGCAGCGGAAACAGCAGGAGGAAAGCCGGAGTAGCCCCGTGTGACAGGAACTGGAACACAAGGAGACAAAGAGTAGGCCACCTAGACTGCCTTCAACCCGCAGTCCACCCATGATTTCTGGGTTGTTCCCTTGTTTCTGACCATCTGCTCGCGCAGACCTTCATGCAAAGCTAAAGGAAAGTCTCCTATTTACAACCTCTCAATCCAGCCTAATCTCTGCCCCTGCTCCCACGTCACCTTCCAGAAACATCTGACACAGCACTGTTCAGCGACTCCGTGCCTTCGCCCATGTTGCTCCTTCTGCCAAGAGCATCGACTTGCCTTGCAAACTCTGATTCATTCTTCACTCCTCTCCTGCAGGGAAGCGTCTCTGGTCGAGGCCCTCTCTCCTCCCTGGCCCCCCACCTCCCTATTTGGGGAAGCATGAGTTTTCCAGTCAGATGGACCTGGATTCCACTCCCTGGTCCACCACCTTGGTGAGTCTGCACTTGTCTGTGAACTCTACATACAGTATGGACCTGTAGGAGACTTGGAAGCCTGACGCGAGATGCATCCATGAAAGCTCTTAGCTCAGTGTCACTGGCCTCTTCACACATCTTAGCTATTCTCTGCATAGAACATGCTAGATTTCCTCTTTAAGAGAAGGGGGCAGGTCTGACTTATCTTCGAGGCCCCGTTCTATTCCCAAGACATTGGCTGAACTTCAAGGAAGCAAGTGGGGGAACCTAGAAGCCTGAACTCCCCTGACAGTTCTATCATTGTCCGGGGCCACTCCCCATGTGTCACGGCGCAAATCGCAAAGGTCAGGCCAGATCAAACCCAGGGCTGCCCTCAGCGCATCGCAACCAGGGCTTTTATGAGCCTCATCGCTCAGTTATAAAAGCCAACCTGGTCCTGCCCCGTGCAAAGAAAAACATCTATCAAAAGCTCTGAGTTGGCCACAGCTGGATTAAGTGTATTTGTAGCTTCCAATGTAGCTGTTTGCAAATCACCCAGAATAATGAACGTCTCAGAGGACTCAGCAGGTCACTGGGGGAAGGCATCCAAGACCCTCGGGACACTCCCAGACACAGCTTCACTCTGCCTCGGGGATTCCCAGGGTCTGGAGGGATAAAGGGGCAATTTTTTTCTCATCATTAAAGGGCAGCCGATGCCTCTGGGGTGGAATGCAGTATCTGTTTAACAGGGTAGTGGGTGACAGATTACAGCGCTTGGGAAGAAGCGCCCCATATCTAATTGAAAATCCCAGGGGAACTTTAGGTGGGTCCAGCGTAATTACCCAAATTGGAGCAGAGCCAACATTGCTTGATTCTTAGGCTCTGGCTGTGACAGAACAGCGTGTCCGTGCAAAACCAGTGGCTTAAAACTGCAGGAAGTAGATCAAGGGTTAGAAAGATGTCAGTGGGTGTTTCTCCTTGCTGGTGAGTGTGAGTTGGAAGGCAGCATCTAGGAGGAACTGTTTTGATCTCCAAAAGCCCTTATTTCTGACTCACCCCAACTGATTGAGTCATCACGGGGATGGATAATCAAGACCTGTAGAAGTGAAAGCTTGGCTGACACTTCTCTTCTAAAGACCCCTGGAAGCCGATAAATCCTCTTAGCTTTTGAGTCGGCAAGGTGGCCGTAAAAAAGTGACACCCCATGAGGTGTTCGTCTGCTAAGGAGCCCAGAAATGGCCGCAGTAACACCCCACCGACCCCTAGCACAGCATCTGCCCTACAGGGCCCACTGGGGAAACATCAGGCGAGTGCACCCGCTTGAATAAAAACACAAGTTACATGCATCGAGAGCATCCCTACCATGTGCCGGCCCCGGCGAGCTGTGTGGGTTATGTTATTTTATCCTCGCAAGCACCTTGTGAAGTGTTCTTGTTCCAATTTGCAGAGGATGAATTTGAATTTCTGGGGAGTTAAGTGACCCCTACCCCCAGGTTTTCAGGGCTGGTGAGTAGGGAAGGTGGGAGAATTGGGGGCCCGGCTTCTGGCCTGTGCTTATACCTGCTTGGTCACATCACCTCCCCAGGAGACATGACAAGCCTAGGTCCCTTGCCTGCCTCCTGAGCGCTCCCATCACATCGCCCAACCTCTCACCTCTCTGGGCTTCACTTCTGTTGGTTGGTGACAGGGGACTAATAACTCCAGGGAGAAGAAACATCTCCCTGGTTCTTCCTGCATCCCGAAGAAAGCAGAGCCAAAATATCATCTTTGCAAGCTGGAACCCTACCAAAGAATGGGGAGCCCATCGCTTCCAACAAACAGGGGCAGACCTCACATCCGGTCACATGCGGCGAAACCTGAGCTGCACGTGCTTCCGAAAAAGAAGCTCTGGTGACAGTTCTCAGGTTTTCCATCACTGCCTTACGCAGCCCTGGAGATCTAAATATGATCAGTCTTAACGTGGACAAAGTCCCATGGGAAGTTACATACAGATGGAAAGGAAAGAATGCAGACCTTCTTAGGGCCCTAATGATTTTGGTACATGGAACCGCAGACACTATTGTCCCTCTTCCCTCCAAGGACACAGGAGCACCTACAGAACTTGAATTTAAGAGCCTGGAGTTTGGCTATTCCCTCAATAATACACTATTCAGCTGTATCTTTTCTGCATATTACATCCTTTCTTCCTTATTCAACAAAAACAGATGGATGCTTTTGGTTTTATCTTCTTGTTTTTTAAATGAAATTATAGATTTCTCAGCTTCATTCTTTTCATGTTGATTTAAAAATAAATTTGTGGACTTCCTGTGGGTGCGGGCTGGCTCCTTGTTCACTACCCCCTATCTGCTCTCCTAAGTGACACGGTGAGCAAACCTGGGGTCATGGAGGGTCAGAAATGGAAAGACCTCCCCTCTTTTCACACAGAGAGACATGAAGCTAAGAGAGGTGCTGAGAACAGCCCCAGACCACAGAGCCAGTTAACACAAATGTCCTGCCGCAGAGGCCAGGTCATCATCCATTCACCAACGTAAACCCAAGTTTAAGAGACACTGGGTTTAACAGGTGCCTCTGCTGCAGGCCTTCTCAGAGCCTTTAATAAGCCCATGTACACTGTGATGCTCCCAGGGGCAGAGGGTTTGTAAGTGGTGCTTCCAAGACTTATTAACCAAGGTTCCGTCATTCACAAAACATTACAAAGAGCCAGTGAGGCCCAGATGCCCCCAGACATGCCAGCGCCACTGCACTGCCAACCTGGAAAGATTGCCCTTGGAACTGCATGGGGTCACATGGCTCAGCTTTTTGTTGCACTCCTCTGCCTGCCCTGGAGTTGCTCTCAGGTGAGCCTGGCTGAAGGTGTGTGTGGTGTTCTGTTCACCTACGCAGCCACACAGCCTCCCACACGGAACCAGAAACCTCCAGAGCCTTTTGACTGACAGATGCGAATACCATAAAATGAGAATATTTCAAACTGCGCATTCAAACTTAAGCAAAACCAAATGACACTTCTCTAGGGAAAGTAGTTAAGCACTGAGTATTCTCCACCATTTCTTTGATGAAGCTTCCAGATTCGGGCTGAGGGCTTGAGCTGCCATGCCAAACATCTGTATCCTATATCCTAATATGCCTGGAGGATATAAAATAATAGCAGCTATAATAATAATAGCTATTCTCAAGCACTTTCTCATCTAATCCTTACAAAACCCCTACAAAATAAGATTCTTATCTCCACTTAATAACGTGGAAACTGAAGCTCAAAGAGAAGTGTCTGCAAAGGACAGAGCCAGGGTTCACACTCAGATCTCCAAAGGCTGCCCTTTTGCCCACTCTATTTGCTGGCTGAGTAGGGGAAAGGTGGTGTGCAGTGGTGCCCTGAGCCAACACGGAGGCAGGAAGTCCCTGGTGTTTGGAGAGAGGCTGTTTCTAGAGACTTTCTGGCCTCGATCCTGAGCCCTGGAGCCTGGAAAGGGTCGACATATAGGACCCGAGGACCAAAGGGCAGGAGGGACGGACCCACCTGAGGTCTGAATCCCTTCTCCAGATCCTAAGCTGAACTTGTCAGGTTCACGACTTGCTCCTCTCCCTAACTCCCATCTCCTTGCCCTGGCCTGATGGTCAGAGTGTGTCTAATGTTGCCAGCCTTCCTGAGTCGCATGGACTTTCCACCCACTGTGACTATGAATGAGGCCAGCCACCTGCCCGACCTCTCTGAAGGGACCCAGGAGGCTTTACACTCGGTCTCAGCCCCACTGGTCAGCCCTCCCAGTAGCCAGTCCTACCTGGAGAGAACTAAACAAGGATGAGGTCTTAGGTGGTGACAGGAGGACTGAACTTAACTTCAGTAAGTTCTAGAAGTTCTAGAACCATTTGAGAAATAAATAAACCCTGTGAGTTTTTTAGCCTCTTAGGTGAAAGTAACATGAGATGTACAAGATATTAAAAATGGTAACACAAATAAATCCCTGTCTTCGCTTTTTAAATTTGTGTTAATATTAAGTCACCATTTGCACCTGCTATACATATGCCAAATGTGTCTTTTTAAATCTAAAAGCAACACTACAAGGCATGAAGTATCTCCACTTTATAGATGAAGGCATGGAGGCTCAGAGGGGTTAGGACAGTGCCCCAGGTCACACAACATGAAAACAGTAGGTCTAACCAACTCCCCAGTCTATGTTTTAACTTACCAGTACAAGACTATGAGAGCTCCACTGCCTCTGTATGTCCTGACATCCCAGTGGAGAGTTTATCTTATAAAATAGAATAATGTCAACACCAGGAAAGTAAAGCACAGCATCATGGGAGATACGGAACGATCCAGACAGTCCTGAGTCTGAATCCCAGTGGCATCTCAAATGAGCTGTGTGAACTTAGACAAATCTCTCAGCCTCACTGAAGCCTAGTTTTCCTCCTCTATGAAGTAAGAATAATTCTTCCAACAGTGTTATTATAACTGAATAAAATGTTAAGTTCCTGGCACATAGTAGATGCTCAATAAATATTATGCATTCAATATGTATTTATTGAACACCTACTATGTGTCAGCAAGGACCCCTGGAGAATGACCTGGTGCTGAGTCTCACCAAGCAGTGATACTACATTGGGGTTCTGCCCAGAACCACCTGTCAAAAGAAAGATCAGAATCAGAACTCACGGGATAAGAGTCTTTTTCGGAATTTTGATGTGATCATTTGGATTGTAATAACCGGGTCCTGGGCCTGTTGACGTCAGTTTTAATCCACGGCCAGTTTTTGATTTAAAACAAGACATTAATATATTCGGCGACTTCTTCACAAGGGATTCGTTGATATTATAGTACCCTAAACAGAAAGGAATTTTAAACCAGAATAAGAAACTCTTCTCAAAGAAATAAAAAGCTGTACCTTATGCTTAAGTATACATTAAATGACTATAAGGTGTTATCACTCCAAAATAGTAAAATGGAAGGGCAGCCTGGAATAACTAAAAATAATAGTCACCATTTAGAGAATATGTGTGACATACATCACATATTTAGCTCATTTACTCCTCCCAGGTGCCCAAAAATATAACTATCATCACCCTTCTTTCTAAATACAAGGAAATTGAGGCTCAGGTATTAAATATTTGCTCACCTTCCTCCTCTATCAAGTAAGAATAATAATTCTTTCAACAATAGGGTGGTTATAATAGTCGAGTAACATTTTAGGTTCCTGGCGCACAGTAGTTGTTTAATAACTGTTATGCAACCAATAAATTTTTATTGAGCATCTACTATGTGGACCTAGGGCTACCAGTCTCCAAAGCTCATGCTTTCCCACTATGCCCTGTCTCAAGAGACTGTGACAGAATAAAATTCGTATGGCTGTGCACAAAGCTTCAAGGAAGAAGAGAGAGATCTGCGGTGAAGAGGAAGCAGGCTTATCCCTAAATTGTCAGTAGCCCTGTCAATGGGTAGAGGCGTTTTGGGGTGCAAGAAACAGTGCTGGGTAAAAGCCTTGAAGATGTCTGCACACTGACCCAGGATTCCCATTACTCAGAAATTATTTAACGTAATGGAAAACCTCTCAGCATGAAAATGTACACCACGGCAGCAGCTACGCTGTGAGAAAGAATCGCCTAGATGTCCAAGAACAGCTATGAGAACTGCAGCCCAATATGGTAGAATGTCAGCCCAGACCATGGTAAACACGAAGACCATAAGGCCACGTGACCATATGTTTGAAAATAAAGGTAAGTGAAAAAAGTAAAATAAAGCCTTAAAGTCTATATGTACCATGATAGCATCTATGTACAAATGGATACATCTGAATAAATATAAGTGGGAACCCAGAATAGTGGAAGCAGTTATATTATGATGGCATTATGGGTGGGAAAAGTATTTCATATTTTCTAAACATTCCAAAGTTGATTTTGTTTCAAATAAAATTTAATTTTCCGCTGCAAAATTACTGAAAGCAACGATAGGATACATATTAGCAAGATTTTATTTAAACGGTCATACCCAGCGATGGCAAGGGGAAACAGGTGCCTCAGAGAAGCAGGACAAATTGTCCCTGGGCTGAAGAGCAATTTGGTCACAAATAGCAAAAACCTTAAATACTTTACATACCTTTTGACTTAGCACTTTCACTTTAAGCAATTTATATAACAATCTTGATTGCACACAAGTTGTGAGCTACACGAATATGTTTGCTGCCACTGCATTTATATTAGCGATCAGTTTAAAACAACCTAAATTTCCAACAAGAAGGCATTATTCCTTCACTTATGGTACCGCCATACAATGGAATACTACGCATCTGTTTTTAAAATGATGTTCTAGGAGGATTTTTAATAATGTAAAAAGATGTTTCCAATATATGGTTAAGTTAAAAAAAAAAAGCTGATGTCCAATTAGCAGCATTTATAATATTGTTACCTATCTCTCATATTATCTTTCTGTTTCTTTTTTTTCCTCTCTCATGGTATATATTAACTCCTACCAAAAAAAAAAAATGGTGAAAGCAATGCTTGATTATAAAATGCTGAAAAGCAGAAGCAAAGAAAAAAAGGCATTCGTGTTCCTGGGGCCAGAGAGACCCAAGGGTGACGACGTCCTGGTGTATTTACTTCCTATCTTTTCCTGAGGGTAGCCAGACTCTGTTTCACGGTGTTGAGCTCACTCTGAGGATTCCATTCTTTAACTCACGTTCTCCAAGTGACACATTAACGTAGGCATTTCCCCAGGTTCTAATAACCTTTTCTTAAAAAGGAAAAATAGGACGTTGGTGATATGCTTGGCACATGTAAACTTTAGAAAATTCAACCGGCACATGTGGAAAGGTAAGTGTTTTCAGAATGGAAGGCAGGTCTGACAAGGGCCCTCAGCCCCTGAGGCAGAGCGCTCCGAGCAGCAGCGGGACACAGCAGGATGCCAGTCAGGCTACGCATCTGGTGTCCTGGCACAGAAGGGGAAGGGGAAACCCCAGCGTCACTTCCAAGAGGTCAAAGCAGCTTGTTTCTGGCAGATTGCCCAGGCTCTGGCCCCTGGCAAGTGGAGAGTCAGGGAAGGTGTCTGAAGCACCAGGCATGGAGCCTAATAGGCCTGGATTCAAATCCGACGAGACCCTGGGCTAGTCCAGTCATCTGCTTTCTATGGATCATTTTCGTCTGTAAAAGGGGATAAAACAATAACAGCTCACACTTTCTGAGCATGTGAACGGAAAGTGCGGGGCAAATGTTCCGTGGCATTTTGAGAGCATTCCATGAGAAAATGAATGTCAAGCCTCTGGCACGCAGTAGGAGCTTAACAGATACTGGTGCCCACCCCTCCCCCTCCTGCTCTTGTTACAAGGGGCTGGGAGCCAGCCCCTCCGGACTCTCCTGGAGGGATTTGGAGCATGTGGCTGGCTGCGAGGGTGCCCGCATCCCAGGACTCACCGGCAGGGCCTCTGGCCAAACCCCAGGGATGCCGGCTTTGTTCTCCTGTATAAACAAACAAGGCGTGGCTTTGCCCACGGATGAGGCAAGGCAGGGGAGCTTTAGCCAGGGCTTAGCCTCCCAATTAGGGCTGGTTTTGTTATCCAGCTTCAGACTGATCTCCTCAACTTTAATCTGGATTTGCTGAAATCTGACATACGTTGCAGTTTTATCCACACCCCGCTCCCAGGGGCATGATTGCAGAGGCGAACCCATCCTGCTCCTCCTTTGGGCTCTGGGGGCCCGCAGCTCCCTTGGGGGATCTTTGGGACCCTTTTGGGAAGGTCTCATAGGCTGAGTGCTCCTGGAGTGTAGACAGCTGCGTCACCAGACCCCTGTGGAAAGTTTTCACTAAGGCTGGAAAGAGGGGGAGGTGGGGAAAACACTTGTGAGCCCTTGTGTATTCCTGAATCCTGGCAGCTTTAGAAGTCACAGTGGAATGACGGGTAACAGTTTCCTGTGGGTAACAGTGTCAGCCAGACACCTGGGGGCTTTGGTCTGCCATTTATAAGCCGTGTGACTCTGAGCAAGTCATGTCATCTCTGAGCCTCCATTGTCTCACCTGACACACAGCACTAGCAGCGGGGACCTGGGAAGACAGACCTGTGAGGACAGCACGGGAAATACTTAGCAGGGGGTGGGCGCTCAGTAAACGGAGCTATTTTCCAACGTTTGGTAACTAGATGATGAAGTCACCTCTATGCACAGGAGAAAAAAACATTGCCGCTGCACCTGGAAGGATCAGGACACTCAGTGTATTGTGTGCCCCAGTGGCCTGTGATGGCGCCTGGGGTGTGTGAATGCGCACACTTCCGATGTGAGAAGCTACTTCCCCACCTGGATCCCCAGAGCAAGTGTGCCCGGTCATGAAAGGGGAGGCCAAAAGGCCACTTTGGGGACATTTCTAGAGCCACCCGTTCTTCTCCTGAAGTGGGGGTGGGGGGGAGCCAGTCTTCTCCTCACCCTCTCCTCTTTGTTCACCGCCTGCCTCCACCCCCATCTCCCCAAAACCTAACTCCCTCCTGAGACCTCCCATGAAGGAATGGCTGCCCTTAGCCGAGATGGTACATGGACGCTTAGATCAAGGCCAGTGCAAGGCAGCTGCTTACCTGGGGCAGGTCCTTTTTCAGCAATAGTGAACCATCCTCTCTGGGTTTTGGACATAAACCCGGCTCGGGCACAGACGTTATTTTTCTGCTTGCAGTAAGAGACGGAGGCCTGGGGGGGAGAAAATCAGCCAGTGTTTGCCTTCCCTTTCTTTGTCTTTGTCATTGTGCCTGGACAAGTGCCACATTTGGATTAAAAAAAAAAATCAAATTTAAACCTGTCCTCAGAATATGAACTGACGTGAGCAGAAGAGGTCACACTGACTATGTCTACGCTATCACCCCAGCTGGGGTGGTCTATGAATTTGGAGTCTCCAGGAAATGTCTGGTGACCTAACTAGGCACAGAGGACAGTGCCCAGAAGAGACAGCCTACAGACCCGGCTTCTAGGCTCACTGTGCTGCACACGGGCCGTATGATCACGCATAAGTTCTTTAATTTCTCTGAATTTGAGTTTTCTCATCTGTAAAACGGCTCAGATAATTCCTACGGTGTTGGTGGGGACAGGGTAAGAGACAAGAGGTCAACAGAAATCATCAATAGGAATCATGTATAGAAATCATCTACCAAAAGCACACACGCAAATTATTTTCATTATTTTATCCTGTGGTTTTTATTCTTTTCGGAATACTTAGTTCTCCGTATCTCCACCTGATTTCTCACTGTTCAAAAAGTCCTTTTTATAAATGCAGGATTTGGGGCATAAAAGGAAATTGTACAATTTAAGAGTACGACCAGATTTGTAAGCATTCTCTTGTGTTGATTTTTCTAGACTGACCAAAACTAAGAATTCTGGTCGACCCACGCAATATACGTGTGAGAGTGTCCAGTGCATTCAGGACTCTAAAAATAACAGAGAAGGAAAAAAGAACCCTGAGATCATTCCTATGTTACACGTGAATCATAAATATTTTAAATGCCAATTTGCAGTCAGTCTCCTGTGTTCATTAGATAAAAGATGCAATAAAAATTGTACCTGTGATGACTGGGAATATTTACCGAACCAGTGAAACTATTTGCTGGGGCCAGGATGGTTTGATTTTCCGTGATACTCCTTTGTCAGAAAAATGTGTCTCGAGAAATGCAGATGGCATTTTGATTTTGTGTTGACAAAGGCGGAGGAATTTAGCTTTTCCCAGGGTCCTAATGGCTAGACTGCATGCAGAGAGGGCAAACAAAAAGATCAGATGGAACAGGCTAATTACTGGACCCGGGGAGAGGAGCCAGGTTGCCGGAGAGGAAGTAATAACACGGTACCAAGGAAAAGGATTGAGAGGTGGGGGATCACGGTGAGCAAAGGCAAAGAAAGGCCTGGGCAGACCTCAAGGCTCGGTGTGCCTAACAGGATTATCGCATTTCTGCTCCTCGCCAGTTGACTCAACCATTGTTCTCCAGGTCCGGGTGGGGGGTGGGGGGGACCTCCTGTAGACAAAACACTACTGCAGCTTTATTCCTCACCCAGACAGAAAAGCAACTGAAAAGGGGGCCATTTTTGAATACACTGAGTGTATGTCGCTGGAAAATTTCACCATTAGTCTAGGAAAATAGTCAACTCCTCGGGCAGGTTAAAAAAGGATGCAGCTGATTTATTGTATTGCATGGAAAAAACAATTCCAAGATACAGTTAAGTAAAAAGCATCATCCTAACACCGCAGGAGGGACCGAGGGAGGAAGAGAATATGAAAGAAACTGCAGCTGGGTTTTGATGGTGTTTTGCTTTGGGGAACAGAGTTATAGGGGACTTCTGCTTTCTAGTTCATGGGTTTCTATAATGCTTGAATACGTTTTATGATGAGCGTGTATTATTTTCAGAGCCACATTAAAATAATAATGAACAAAAAACATGTTCCTAAAATTGATCTATTGGCGAAAGGACAAAGCTCTGACCTGGGAAATGGTTTTTTCTAGATCAACAAGTGTATACTAACCCCGGGAGAGTTATTCCTTTGATGTCAGAGACGTTTATTGCATGCTTACTGTATACCAGGACCTGTGCTGGGCTTTGGCCCTGTGAAGTTGGCTGAAGGAACACACATAGTGGGTTAGGGAGGCAGAAACACTAACTACCCCTCTGAGGACTACATGAAACACTAACTACCCCTCTGAGGACTAGAAAAGGCGCAATGGCCAAGAGCCTTCGTTATCACTTTCTGGGACCAAGCCTCGACCTCCCTCCTATTAACTTAAAATCTTAACTGGTTTTCTGAAATCTACCCTCAGTCCACATCGTAGTCCATTCTTCATACACCTGCTGGAGAGAGCTTCTTCAAAAAGTACATCAGATGACATCACCCCATACCTCCCATCTCCCTCAAGGGTTTCCCAGAGAACAAAATTCAAACTCCTTCCCGGGGTCTTTTGGGCCCTGACAAACTGACCCCTGAATCTCTCTCTGGCTACCCTCCCTCATCCCTTCTCCTTGTAGCTAAATCTATTCTAGCTACCATCTTATAGTTCCCCATGGGCTGAGCTGTTGGCTGTCCCAGGACCTTTGCATATGCTAGTCACCAAACTCTGGCTCCCCTTCGATTTTTGGATCTCAGCCTCAGAGCCTTTTCTGACCACCTAGTGTGAAATACATATTACTGCCCACCCCCACATATTCTCTCTCTCAGGCTTTAACTGTTTTTTTCCTCTCTCAAGGCTGGCCACCGTTTGTAATTATTTGGTTTGTTTGTTTACTAGTTCTTATCCTGAGTGCCCCCCTGAAATCTAAGCTGTGTCAGTGGTCTGGCACAGAGTAGCCACAGAAACCACAGAGGGAAGGAAGCCCGGCTGGGCTGGGACATGGTGACTCCCATCACTCTCCAGCTGCATGTCTCAGCCATATGCCTGCGCTCACTGATGTGTAAATGGTCCCTTCGAGCTGGGTAACGTTGGGCCAGTCCCTTCACCTCTCTGACCATCAGTTTCCTCTTCTGTAAATTGAGAATAAGATAATCCACTTCATGGATTCTTGAGACTGTTCTGTAAGATGAATACATAAGTCTTAGAACAGCACATGGGCCATGAAAAGTGCTTTATCATCATCACTATTATTGTTGGGCTCTGATTACTCCAGGGGAAGATTAGAGCTGTGCCGTCTGATACAGTAGCCATGGAAACATGGCTAGTCCAAATTAAGATGTGCTGAAAGTATAAAATATACACTGGGCTTTCAAGACTTAGTATAATGGAAGGAATGTAAAACATCTCATCGATAATTTTTATGTTGATTAGATGTTGAAATAATATTTTGAATATACTGGGTTAAATAGAAACTACTATTAAAACTAATTTCACCTGTTCCTTTTCACTTCCAAATGTGGCTACTGGGAAAATTTAAATGACATTTGCAGCTCCCATTACATTTGTACTGGACATTGCTGCCTAGCAGGAAGGTACTTATATTGCTTTGAGCACGTTATAATTGATTGGATCAATCATAAAAGCTGGGCTCAAAGGATGTTTGTAGTCAGAAAAATAAATATTTTATTTGTGAATATTAAAAGAAAAATAAAATGTAAACGAAGTGTCTGAGACTAAAGTATTTTGAAATATGGCCTAACGATATTAATACCTTATGTACAACTCATGTCTTATGCGTTTCAGAGTGCTTTGATATTCATTGTCTCATTTGCTTCTTACATTGATCCCGTAGGGCAAGTATAATTAATTCTATTTTACAACTGAGGCTCAAGAGGTGAGGTGATCTCCCCAAAGGCAGATCTCCATGGACTGTGGAGTCCTTGTGTGCCGGATGTTGTGCTAAGCACTCAGCGTAGATTACCTCATTTAATATTTGTCCTTACATTACGAAGTAGATACGTACCCCCATTTTACAGATGAACAAACCGAGTCCTGAAAGGTTGAGGGACTTGCCCAAAGCCACACAGTTGGAAAGTGGCAGAGTGGAGATTTGAACCTAGCTCCATCTCTTAACCATTCATTACATCGTTCTGCCTCAGTGACTACAAAGTAATAATTGGCAGAGTACTTCTGTTAAACAAATCTCCTGATACGAAAAGACAGAAATTTATTTTCTATAAGAACCTAAAAAGTAAATGAACAGTGTCTGCAGATAAAGCGGTAAATAATATATTCATTGTTACAGATGAGAAAACTGTCCCAGAAGAGTCACGTGATAGGAGTGACTACGATAAGTATTTTCCAGGGCAGTGGTCTTCCCACTGCTCCATAGTGGCTTCTCTGTTGCCCGCATTTTCCTCTGGGCTCTGGGAATACCCTGTAAGAGTCTTGCAAAGCCTCAAGTACCCACTGGGTACTCAACAAATGCTAAGTGGTTTACCAATTGCATTAAGATGCTAGCTCCCACAGCTCCCCCATTCTTTTCTTACATTTTAGTAAACCCTTCATTCAATATATATTTAGCAAGCATAGGCAATGTTCTTACATTATAATGGTTTGGAGCAGGAGTTTCAAATTTGAGAACTTTCGCAAAGCTTGGCAACTGGAACATGCTGGAACAGGAATTACTGAAGTCTTTCTTTGAAACAAAACGTGATGGGAGAGTGTATGCAGTAGCTGCAGGATATTTAGAAATGATGGTGTCCATTCGGGCACACTGTGAGGAGAAAGCCAAAGGAATCAGCATTGTCACATACTCCGTGGCTCTGAAGGACAGATGTCAAAAAGATGGCGCCCAGCACCAGGCCTGAAGCATTTCATAAAAGGTGAAGCTCTAGCAGGTAACCACGATAAACTGACCTCAGGCTTTGAGGATTCGCGCTTAGAACACACAAGTTCAGACCTGTTTTAACCTCTGTAAACCAACTCAAATTACTCATCTTATGTTTAGAAACTTGGCAAAAATAATTTTGCCATAAATGCATGTCCACCCAATCCTGTTGCAGGCCACTTACACTTGACTCATCATCAGCTGTTGGGTAATTTATATGATGGGAAGCTTTAGACTTTCTTCTTCTACTCGGAATGAAACCTCGCATCTTGTTTCTAAGGTTAAATGATATGAATGGCCTAAATAACAAGTTTGCTTTGAACGTCTTCAAGGGACAAGACTCCAAAGGGCTTGCTGTCCACCATGTCTCCTAGTCACCACCTAAATTACTCATTTCATAAAACTCTACAATATTTTTGCTATTTCAACAGAACCAATCCTAGTCCTTCCAGGAGGGCACGATAAACTATTTTCAGTTAAAAAACAAAACAAAACAAAACAGAATCAATGTTTGCCAAATGAAAAGGGACAAAAGCCATAGAAACTAGATGATAACATCACTTAACCCTAGGATAGCATGGCAAGTATTGGAGTCTGATAAAACCAAATATTTCTCATTATTTATAGTTAAAATCTTTCTCACCTTGATAAGGGTCAATAACTATACAAGCACAAAAAGTGGGTGAGGCTGTGGGAAAGCATTAGCACCCCATCCATCTCCTCGCTCTATACCTGTGGCAATGGTTCTCAACACCTGGTTTATAGACCACTGTAGTTTGTGGGTGGATGTGCCACCAGAAGTAGGAGAGTTCTAGACCAGAATCTCAGGTGTTCAGACTTCTAACTGGGTTTGAGTCCCAACTCTGCTTTCTCCAAATTGTAAGGATTCATCGATGTTCTCAGAAGTAAAGTTACCCCAGCCTTGTACTCACTTTGCCTACGCATTTTGGACAATAATTAACTGACTATTTTTCATGGGTTGTAGCATTTAATCCTTGGGACAACCCTGAGTAGTGGATATTATGACTATCCCCACCTTATAGATGAGGAAACTGAACTTCCTCAACTAGTCAAGTGGTGGAACCAACATTCTCACCCAGGCAGTCTACCTCCACTAGTGATATGGATCAGACATCCAATTCTGAGGGGGAATGGGTAGAGAGAAGTAATAGCAATACACGTTGTCATTTACAAGATGAGCAGATGATAAATGACGATGGAAGGTTTTAGTTCAAGCAGAATCACTAACCTATATCTCCTTTGCCCAATGGTATAGGCGCACCCTTGCTCTTTCTTTTTAACTCCCATGTAAGAAGGGAGGTGAAGTTAAACTTTCCTCAGTGGTGCCATTTGTAGCATGCCTGTCTTGAGTCATCCAACGGAGTGAGCAAGCATGTTTTTCTAAAGCACTATCTCCCAATGTGTGCCCCTTGGCATACCAGTTCTATAAGATAGGATCGTATTGGTGGTGGTGGCAGCAGGGAGAGAGTTTCAGAGTCCAATAATTTTGAGAAGTCTCATGCCATGTTCCTATTTTGAAGATTTATAATATACATTGGCATATTAAATGCTCTGAGAAGGTCTGCAATAATAATAATAATAATAAAAACCTCTCTGACTTTGTTTAACTGGCCTTTCTTAAACTTACTCGCTCATAGAATCTTTTTGGCCTAGAAAACCTATTCATACATTTTGGGAAGAATTGTTCTAAAAAATTCCAATTAGAGGCAAAGTTTCATAAAGCATTACAGTAGGATTTGTCTCAGGGTATAATTGAAGTTATACTCGCTCGCCAACCCTTCCCGCTCCTTGGCTTTCTTTTAATTGCCAGGCCTGTGGTCTCCAATCTGACCACATGCTGGCATTTATGAACCTCCCTCTAGCACATACTAACTTTTCCAGAACCACCCCTGCCACCATGAAAACACAGAAAGGCCACCAAAGTCTCCTCCCACCTGCCTCATTTAACTAGTCACTCCTGTGAATAATTCTGGAACAAAGGTTTAGAATACATTAATGAAGCTCTTTATATAATTTGGACTTAGAGAGATGACAGGTCTCAAAGGGTTGGGTGTAGCTGTTTCAACAGTCATCAGGAAGTTCCTCAAATTTATAGACCCGAAGAGTTTTTTGGTTAGCCTCACCCACAGTCACCCCCTTTCTGGTCACACCAATGTCAGTAAGGCATTTCTCTGAGGGCTACTTTTAATTCTCTCAGAGTCTTCAGATCCGGAAATGGAAAAGGTGCTAAATGTGAAAGTCAGTGACAGCAGGGTAGAGGTATGAAATTTGCAACCAATTCAGAAAGGAACTGGTAAGATGTGGGAACCTCCTGACAGATCTTCATCAACCAGTTAAGGCTCCTGCCCAGGGGTATAGAAACTGGAGTGTTTATAAACAGAAACATAAATTCTCATATCCATCAGAGAGAGGAGAGGAAGCCTGAACAACTCAATATCTGCCTTCTTTTGGGTTTAGCCTGAAGTTTTTAAAGACCTGAGAGGTGCAATTAGATTCTGTTAATACTCAGGTCTTCCCTTGGGACCCTTCTGCAGACAGCCCAGCCTTATCATTTGCAAAGTTACTGCAAGCGGGGCCTAGCATTGTGCATGTGCTCTGATTTAGCCCACTTCTTTGGCACCAAGTGGGAATGGGCAGTGCCACTATATGGCAAAGAAGTTCTCGGAGAGAAAACTTAGGTGTTGCAGGAAATGTTGTTTTGTGACTCATTGGTAACAATCATCACAATTAACATGTTTATAATGCCCTGCAATTTCAAAGAGTTTTTCACTCATTGCAACGTTAATGTGCCATCGCCTCCAGGGAGTCTGCACTGTAAGAGGCAATCAGGACACAGAAGGGTGACGTGCTCGAGGTCACATCGGGAATCCACGGCTGAGTCAGGACGAGGTCTTAAGTCTCATCCCCTATGCCAGGACATCGTGAGACAGGCATTTCTTTCTCTGATTGCTGTTGAGTCTGTGTACTCGCAGGGGTTGGGACAGAAAAAGAGGTAGAAGCGTGGTCATTCTGTGAACTCACTGGGGGCCTGTGCAGCCTCCACATTTTTTTGCTATTGGAGAGCTGGCTCCAGAGTCAGTTTGCTTTCTGAGTATTCGATTCCACCAAACTCAAATTCCAATAAGTGCCTGTATTCAATGTGTCTTACACGGTCTCTTTATGCGGTTTAAAATAATAAAAGTCGATTCTAGTGTCAGGCATCATATTACATTTTTGCAAGAGATTATTGTAACCTTTAAAGGGACCGGTGGCATCTGTGTTTTGTTAATGCTGTCTTTTTCACTTTCTTGCCTCAGCTAGTCTTACCCAAGTCTGACCCTCTTCCCTTGCTGTATCTATTTTTTTCTTGCTGATGTATAAATATTCAAATGAAGACTATCCTTGCCCAAGCCTGGTCCAGGACACTGACACTTCATGCAGCTGCTTGACTGTCAGAGACCTGAACAAAGATAAAGACTCAAATCTTACAAAGACGAGAAAGGAGAAAAGGAGGCCGATCACTAAATTTCAGGCCCTCTGGCTGCTTTCTTTTTGGTCCCATCATATTTCTCAACAATTTGAAGAACTCGATTAGACTAAGCAGTATAAAACATCATATCAGGGTGAGAGGTGTAATAGTGACTTTTTTCCTAGTATGCCCAAAAATCTCGGAAAGACATTTGCTTAGTCCACTCCGTGATGACAAAATTGGTTTTGGAGGATCAGGTCCTGAACATTTGTCTAGCTCCTCTTGTCACTCTGGCAATGTGTAGCGCTGGGGGAAAAAATTAAAGACACAGGCTCCGATTTACCCAAATGAAATTTGAGGAGGCAGTTAACTCTCCTAATTAAAACCATAAGCCTTTGGAGAGAAGGGACCAGAGGTCGAATATATACAATGAATGAAGGAAATTACTGATCAGTTAATGCCCATACTCAAGGGAAGGAGTTCTCACCATAGAGGGAAAAGTGCATGTCCCTTTCTTGGACAACGAGACACTGTTGGACACTGGAGATTGGTGAATGACGTTGTAGAAGCCAGGACCAGGGCTATCATCCTGAAAAGGAAGAGCATGTGGCATCATCAGGATATATTCAATTCCATTGTGCTTGTCCACAAGCTTTACATCCAATAACACTAAGCCTCGTCATAATACTCCAGGACAGACACCACCGCCACTTCATGGATGACAGCCTGGCTCCGCCATCTCCTAACCTTCCAAGTCACTGTCTCAGTTTCCAAGGACTGGGGCTGGGATTCCAACCTAGGTCTGGGACCCCCCAACACCCTTGCTCTTTCCACTGTGCTGTACTGCATTCCGGAAGAATGCTATTGTCTTTTGCATGCCATTACAGAAAGGAGCATAAAATGGGATACTGAGCGTGGCTGATGTGCAAGTCGGTGTACACTGACTGGGTTTGCCGAGCCCACGGGGAGGGAAGTGTGACCGATTTCACATTAGCCGCACCCCACCTGACTCAGCTTCCTCCTCAGCCTTTCAGAAGAGAAATCAGGGAGTGTTTCTGTTTATAAAGCAAAATGAAACAAAAACAACCTTCATCCTAAACAAGACCATTTCTAACTCTCAGACAAAAAGAGGCAGGTTCATGGGGCTCAAGTGCTAAATGATGCAGGAGTGTAAGAGAGGAATCAACAAAAGCTTGATTTCTGAGCTCGTTTCTGCCGTTGCAGATCATTAGACTCTCATCTCATTTCTCATGCTGGTTACCAAGGGGAAGTAAATAGTTGGCCGAGCAAGAAGCATGAAAGGATAAAGATGCTCCACTGCCTTCAGAGTTTACTGGGTGCCAAAAGTTTTTCAAAGCTTGTCTCATTGAATCTCCCAGTGAGGAAGGGATTACTGCCCCCATTCAATAGATGGAGACACTGAGGCACGTGGAGATGAACTTGCCTTCCATGTTACGAGCGGCGGAGCCTGTCCTTGGTGCTAAGCTCATAGTGCACACAAGCCCTTTGCCGTGAGGGTGCTGTCAGGTCCACTTTAAGTGAGTCCCAGAGACAATGGGTCTCTGTTATTAAATGATGAAGCCCAGATCGAAACCCAGGCAACCCGATTTGCTCTCGCTACCTTCTGCCACCCGGGCTCATCCTGCCTCCACCATTCCTACTGCCTTCCTCAGTGCAGAAAGAAAGCTTAAGGTATCATCAGGGCCTTCAAGGACTTTTCAGTATGGCTCGAGCTGTGTGTGATTATTATGGTTTAATATAAAGGGTAGGGTCATTGATGTTATTAACGAGTTTTTCTGTGCCGAATTTTAAATGCAGTGAATACATTGAGCCTTGCAGGTGGGGGCAGGGGAGCTGAATCCTGCTTTGTAGGTGGTGAACCCTGGTGAACAGAGTGGGAGCTGACCGCCAAAGAGAGTGAGGCAGGCCAAGAGAGATGCAGCACAACCAGGTGTATGGGCACCCCAGGTGAGACAGAGTGGGAGCTGACCGCCAAAGAGAGTGAGGCACAGCCAGGTGTATGGGCACCCCAGGTGAAGAGTTCAGAAGAACCCTGCTGTGTGGGGGCAGATTCGAGGGGCTACAGGGAAACAAGAAAGACATTGTTCTAGGGGGCTGTTTACAGGGCCAGCGTTTATTTATTTAGTGGTCACCGTGTGCCGGGCACTGTTCTGAGTACTCTGCATGCACTAACTCATTTAATCCCCATCTTAAAGATGAGAAGACAGGGCCAAAAGAGATAAAGCCCAAGGTCACAGAGCTGATAACTGTCAGATCGAGAATCTGAACCCCAGCAGTCTGAGTGCAGAGTCTACTCTTCAGCACTAAACCACACTAACTCTCAAATGAGAATGTGTACGATAAAAGAAGGAAAAAAAATTCCACTGGGTTACGAATCAGGCATCCTTGTTCTCAGTGCTGCTACGAGGTAGGTGACCTTGGGCCAGTCACCTCTCTCTACCTAAATTTCCTCATTTGTAAATCGAAAGTGTTGGACAAAATGTCTTCAGGTGACTTTTAGCTTCCAAAGTCCCTAAGTTAAGGGAAAGCTAAAGCAGAAAATGTAACCGTGACTCCTCTACTTTTAAAGAATGAAGACTCACATCTCTAACTCCCAGTCTGTTGGCACGCTCTCAATACCGCCATCGGTTCACAAGAATTTTCTGGGCACCTATAGGAGTCTGAGGAGCTAGCGTGGCCAAATAAATACAGTACCTGCAAGGCTGCTCCATCCCACCCTACCCAGTTCGATATTAATTTCTAATAAACAACAAAAAGTTATTTTAGTATAAGTATGTCTCGTGCACTATTTGGGACATACTTACACTAAAATAGTATTTTTTTTTTTTAACTTATCTGAAATTCTAAATTAACTAGGAACCTTGTGTTTTTATTTGCTAAATCTGGCAACCCTACTGGCCCTTAATCATGTTTTAATTCTGCCACATTGCAAACTGGTTTGAGTCCAGGCCAAATAAGAAAAGGACTGTCCCTCTTAGCTTGGAGGGAGAGGGTGCTGCTGTTTGTTCTTAATGAATGCTGGAGCTGGCCAGTGGCAGCTTGTGAGGGTGACTGTTAAAAATTCAGAAATCGGAGTCTTACATCACTGAAACTGGCCGATGCTGTAAATCAGAGCTTTTCTTTGTGGAGGGGAGAACTGGTTTACCAGAACACTGCTCGCTACCTTCACCGTGACACCCAAGTAGGTTTCTGAGCTACTTGGAGAGAAATGTTTAGACCTTTCTACTCTGGGATAACAGTTCATGTGACTAATGTTGTATAACTTGGATGACTGAGGCCTCTCAGAGCACAGTCCAGAATCCAAGTTGCAACGGGTGTGTGAATTTAGCCATCCCTGGATTTCTTGACGGAGGCCATCCCAGATGGCAAAAAACAACCAACCAAACAAACGATAGTTGGTATGGGGACAGAGGAGGAAAGAGAACTCTGCTGACTGCCTGTTGAGTGCTCCACCGAAGCACAGTGCCTGATGCTGTGCCTATTGTCTCCTGTGCCTGCCTCACAGTGTGAGGATTAAATGAGTCAATGCTCATAGAGGGGTTACAGCAGAGGGGTGGGGGAGGGGTGGGACCGAGCAAGGGATGACTGGCTGATGTGCTGCCATCCCCACCTAACACACATCTGAGTGACATTTGAAATGGACTTTGAGAGCTCTTTTGAAGTATTAAAGTCCCTCTGCATGTGCCAAGGATGGGACACAGATCTACATTCACTTGACCTTGGGATAGGTTTAGAGAGGTAATGAGGAGGAGGAGGGGAAGAGTGGGAGCAGGGCATTTACCTCTTCACCCCAAAAATCTCCATAGATTATGGGAGGGCTTAATACCCCACAGTCTGGAGCCAATTACATCTGCACACAGCCTGGATTTTCTAGTCCTGATTTTATAGATTCTGTCCAATTAATATTTTCAGGTTTGACAAATCAATGATTTGTCGAACCATTTCCTGGCTTGGAAAATGTGGTCTCTGTTGGATCATTAGCTAAAGACCACACTAGGGCTGCCATTTGATTCTTCAAAGATGTTCCACCTTGCTTTGGTCTATTTTGGGGATGGCTAGCTGCCATTTCTCAGGAGTGCCCAAGACAAATGACAACTAGGAATTTGCTAAAGGCTAGAGGTATATGCCTGCTAGAAACAGAGCCCTGTCCTGTGCTTAATCTGTTGGCAAAACCACACAGGAATTTGGGGGTCCTGAGGAAAAAATTTTCTTTTACAAATGCCTCTAGTCTTAAGGTCTTGGACAACATGCCACTGAAAATCTTCTGGTTCAAACTGTCTACGACTCTGAGATTTGCCCCTTAAAAGACACCCTTCCTTCTTCCTGCTTTCTCCCCCTCCCTTTGCCCATCCCCCAACCCCAAGTCCATACACTATTTTGTGGCTTCAAAGTTTCCACGCCTCTGATCACAGTAGAAAAGGGAGAGGCAGCCAGCATACTTCAAGCAAGAAAACATCATTTTTTTTTTGTTCGGAATTGGGGAGGCTGTCAGAAATGAAATGGCCTTGAAGAGAGCACCCAGGAAAACTAGGATGAGTTCTCTTGAGGCGAGTGTTTCTTAGTGGCCCAGGTAAAGAGTAAATGTGAGGAAAGGAAGGGCAGCTGGGACACCGGTCACCTCGGCAGGTGAAAACGGGAACCAGTTCTCTGCCTATTGCTGGCCTGGCCATGTTGGAAACAAAGTCAGACAGGAGAAGGCAAACAGACTTTTCAAAGTCTTCGTTATATCAGCCTTGTCTCTGAGAGCGCCACAGTCCTCTTTTGCAGAGCCCTCCACTCTCTTAAATCTGGTGTCAGCTTATTAGCAGCCCCTTGTAATCCCAAACGGCATGTGGGCGAAAACTCAATTCCGCCAACATACATTGAAACCTACTCTGGGCCAGGGCCTGTGCTAAGGCACGAGGATACAGGCACAACCTGCCAGCAGCTCACAAGTCCCAGCTGCCACGTGGATGGGATGCGTTCCTGTGACTCAATGAGAAATGCACAGACTTGAGTTGGGGTCATTCATACGATCCATTTTTGAGAGACTTCGGGGTTGAGAAAGGACAGCAGTAATTGATGCCCAAGGAGTTCTCGGGCAGGTGGAGATGAGATGTGCACACCCACTTGCATCATGCCACGCAGAAGGTGGTCAGGGGCATAAGACCGGCTTTGAGAGTTCAGAGGAGGGTGTGCTTGCTTCCACCCAGGGGAGATGCCAGGACACGGTGTGTGGGAACCAGGAGCTGCTGCCTGGGTTTGTCCTCGCTCTGCCTGACCCTGGCTGCACAAGTTACTTAACTCTCTCTGTGTCTCAGGGTCATTATCTGAAACATAGGATAATGATGGGACTTAGCTCACAGGGTTATTATGGGGGATTAAATGAATTAATAAATGCAAAGGTCTTTGTGGGGTGCCTGGCAGGCTGTCAGTACCAGCCAAGTGTCTGCTATTTCCAGAAATGTGTCCTGCAGATCCCTTAGGATGGGTGCTGGTGAATAACATGCAGAAGTCAGGCTTCCAGAGCAGGGAGGTGGGGCAGACCCTCCTGAGGTTCAAACACGCAGCCGAATGCACACTTGGGGTAGTTATCCCCTTGAACAAATGTGGTGATCTATGCAAGCCGAGCGTCTTTCTATTTAAATACTCCTGACGTGTAATATACCTCTGGTCTAGTGCCTTATCAAGTTAATAAGTAAACAGTATTAACTTCGTACAATTTCGCCAGAAATTAAACACTGGCCTTCTCACCATTTGACAGGGCAGATTTACTGTCAGACGATATACGAAATTAACGTGTACTTTTAAATTGCGCCCATCAGAGGATGTGGTGCCCAAATGCCATCATTATTTCATTGGAGCCTTGATCATTTGATTCTAAACCAGTCAGGTTTAGAATCATGAAACAATAACCTGTGGAAAGGGCCTATCGATTATAACACACTTATTGTTAAGATGAGGAAACAGAGATGCAAATAGATTAAGTGGGTATCCTTAGTGTTATGCAGCTTGGACAACAGCGACCACGATTCAGGGTGACATGGGGACAGAAACAGAGAGGCAGGGGAAGAAAATGTCCATCAGGCTGCGGGGCTTTGCTCTGTCCCAGCCTAGGCATGTCTCTTCATGTACGCGAGTCACCAGCACACTTGTAAATAACTGTGAACTGTTCGGGGAAGCAGACTTTATCTCTAGCAGCCAGAATCGCCAGCCCAGACACCGAGCTCTGCAAGGGATTCCTCGTGCCCAGCAGTCAGATTCTCACGGGGAATGCGAGCTGGGCAAGAGGCCCTGATGTCTCCCTACAAAGTTAGACCGATAAGGTAAGTGTACATTTCAAAGAGCACCAGGGCTCTGTATTGAAGATGTGCTAAGTGGGTCACAGAATTAAATGTGAGGCCACAACCAAGTTATGAGATCAGGCACAGGGTGTGTATGAGTAATGTTTTAAGAAGGGTGGTGATACACTAGAGTTTTAAGATCTGTTTTTAATTTGTATGACCTCACTAAATTATTGGGTGATGCTAAACAAGGTCCTTAACTTCTCAATGCCCATTTTCTTCAAAAAAAAGAGAGAGAGAGAGAGAGAGAGAGAACAATGAGCACAGACAGAATAAGAAATTTTTTTCCGTTTTTATAGCCGGAAGAACCTAACAAAGTTATATAGCCCAAATTTTATGTTTCAGATGAAAAAACTGAAACCCAGAAAAGTCAGGTGACTAAAGGCACACAGCTAGTAACAGAGCAGAACACAGGAAACCTGATTTATGAATTCCATGCACTTTCCACAAAATTCCATACTTATTTACAAAATGCTTTCAAATACTTCGGTGAAAGCTTTCACCTTGTCAAACCAACACAAACACATTTGAAAAGTAAGAATCAAATTTCTGAGCTATTTCTGTATCTGACACTGCCTACAGCTGTGGCCAGCTGCCATCTTGGTTCCTTTAGCCGAAAATTTTCTGAAAAGCAATAGCAGTTTAAGACCATAACTTTAAAAGCCAGCCCATTTTGTTTCTGGATTTGCATCTTCAGAATTGGATCATGTAGAATGGAACCTTACGTACATTACTTGACATCTTCCCCTATCTTGAACTTGGTCTGTTTTGCTAAGTCCTTTTCAGAAACACACTCTCTGACTTTCATGTGGCTTTGTGGGTCACAAGGGAGGTGTGGTACAGTGTGTAGAAAGAGCATGAGGCTTTGGAGTGACTAGACCTGGGTTTGAGGTCTAATTCTCTCAACCTTGATTGAGCAAATATGTAGGGCCTCTTATGTGCCAAACCCTGCGTTGTGTGTCCTTGGGTGGGTCATTTAACTTCCCTAACTCTCTTCTATTAAGATAACAAACCTTTCCTTTTAGCATTGTTCTGAGGATTAGAGATATGGTCTAAAAATGTTTTCATGCATAGTAGGGATCAGTAAATGGTGATTGCTATTATTTTTCATTGGAGCCTGGACTGCAAATATCCTAGAAATGGACAACATGTCATCATTAAATTGACAAATGAGAAACCAAACCCAAAAAAAGAGACAAAGAGACAGATGAACAGTTAAAACATAGAGAAACTCAAGAGAGAAAAGAGAAAACTCCTAAGCAAATATCTTATTTATTATCTTTGGGGAAAACCTACGAATAATTTAAAAAATGCATGTGTGTGTGTGTGTGTATACACACATACTATATTCTTTATTATTTGCTTTCTTAGAATCCTAAAATATCAGAAGTGGAGGGAACTTAAACATTCTCTAGTTGGGCATTCTTGTTTACAAAGAAAGAACAGGCCGAGGGGCAAAGGGGCTTGCCAAGGCCCCCTAACTCCTTCCTGACTCTCCTGCATTCAGTACCTAGTCCACCATCCTGGCAAGGTGGTAAGATGAAAAACATTTTTAGAATGTAGCAAAAGGTAACTGAGATGATGATTCCTCCAAAAGAATGTTATTCTAAAGGTCTCGGTTAAATGAATAAAGGAATGAAGATTTTAATGAAAACTCTAAAAAACGTTTGCGAGTTGTTTCGGCCCCCTGCTGGTGAGAGAAGAGAAAGTCAGATCCCTGAGACTTAACAATTGAAATCTCAAGGGTTAGGTGAGGACCCGTGGGATCAGGAGCCAAAAGGAACTTTCCAGATCAAAGAGGAAAAGAGACACAGATATTTGAAGGAGAAAGTGAGGATGGGGGAAATACAAGAACAGCAATAACATATTGTTAAAAGAAATCTTAAAAAGAGAGGGGTTTAAGTTTGTTTTTTAAGGTAATTTTACATTTATTAGACTCCTATTTTTCTTATATTATTTGAAGAAAGTCTTGTTATTTCCTTTCATATAAGGAATGAGGCTGGGGGAAGAGGAGGAAAAGATTTTTACCTTTTACTTATACCTCCTGGGATTTTTGAATGTTTTATTTCTATAATGATTTTTAAAATACTTTTTTCTTAAAATTTTTTTCTTTTTTTTTTTTTTTGATTCTGTGTAACATCATAAACCCGGACATACTTTCTTGTGGATTTAATCTTTTCAATTGCTGTGGCTCCTTGGATGACACTGCCCTCTACTGGTCAGAGGGACACAAGCACTATTAGCCAGAGACTGGCATGTCAGTCTCCGGAGGGTAAAATCCAGACCAAAAATAAAGAATCTCTAAGACAAGGTCATTACCTTTTTATGATAGAATCGTTTGGCTTGACTATTAAATCCTTTTTTTTCTGATTCTGGAATTATCGAAGACTGATATTTAAAAGGAATGGAAGATTGTGTTGGATATGCAGCAGTATAACCTAAACAACAGAAATAAAATAAAAATTAGCACAAAACAAAGAATTAACAAATGCAGGAAACACTGAGATGTATATTAACATTTTATTTTAAAATAGAAGAGAAACTTGCCTTTTGACAAGAGATAGAGCTGAAACTGGATTTTTGAAAAAGTATTTCCTGCTTTACTTTCTTTCCCTCTTGGTAATTTATTGGGTTTTCCCCTCTCCAGCTCTTAAACTAGTGAAATTTGGTCACATGGCGGAAATGAATTGTTCCAAGGAAGAGGAAGGATCTGACAGGAAAGACGTTTTTGTCAAGCAGGAAGGGACACGAAACCATCTGGAGCAACCTGGAAGAAGAGCCAGGCTGGGGACAGAGTGAGAGTTCTCAGTCATCTCCTGCCCAGAATCACATATCGCCGAAGCGCCAGAAAGACCCAGAGAGGCAGGGAAGTCCCAGAGCGGGGCTCTCTCACTTTTCATGGCACCATGCGAGACGAGGGTAAGTTCAGTTTTCTGTGGGGGAAGGTCCACGTTACTGACTCTGTAGGGAGCATCTATTTGCACAGCAGGCCGATTACAAACGCTACTCTGTGAGTGTAATAGAATCTGACTCCAGTTTTTGGAGTCTGACAGCTTTTAAGCCTCACCCTTCTCTCTTCCTTTTCCGTCCCCTGACTGGGTAAGCCGATGAGAAAGCCAGGTTGCTCCTTCCTTTGGGACCAGTTAAAGGTTCAAACCCCTGCCCTTACTACAGCCCTACCCCCTAACCACAATAAACCCCAAGCCAGTGTCCTTTCCAAGCTCTCTCAAGCCATGGTTGGACCAGATTAGAAAGCCTGCCTGCTGTCCCCAGAAAGCCTCATTTTACGAGTAATAAACCTTTTCACATCCTCTTGATGTGTGTGTGGCATCATCAGTTTAGGTACCTAAACCAAATGTGGGGTGAGGTCCATCCTAACTGCAATGTGTCCACGATAGTGAGCCAAATTATCTTAAAATCAGAGTCCTAACCCTCAGAGGGAAAACATGTACAGAAGCAGAAAAAGCATAACCAAGAGAAAGAAAGAAAGGAGGGGTGTGTTAGGGTGAGGGTGAGGTTGCATGAAAAATGTCTTTAAGGTCTATTTCTTAGTATCCAAATTCTTGAAAAAAACAAAACCGCTTTTCAGAGAGGAAAGCTCAATGCCAACAGGGGCCCCTTAGGAGGTACTATTACCCACCAGCTTGATCAATGAGGTAACTGAGGCTTAAAGAGATAAGTTACTCATCTAAATCACACAGCCCTAAAGTGGAACACCTGGGATTTGAACACAGGTTTGTCTGATGAGCACAGACTCTTAATCTCTAAGCTGTATTTCTTCTTCCTGAGCAAGGCCCAAAGTAAAGACTCAACAAACAAATCAATGAAATAATGGCCAAGGGGCCTAATTTGCCTGGGCTGAGGATGAAGCAAATAAAAGCAGCATATATGTTTGGTTAGAAAACATTTGCGAGACCAATATATGGTATATTTATTCTTTTCTTCTTTTCTCCCTCCCCCCCATTTAAGCAGGTGGATAGTCATGTATTTTTCCTTTAAGGGAACTAGAGGGCAATTCAGAAAGCAGTAGATGCAAGGCTTCCTGGCTTTTGTTTCTAAAAGTCTAAGTCAGTAGAACAACTGAGTTTGCAGAGGAGGCAGTAAAGAAAGGGGGGTTATAAAAAAGAAAAAGAAAAAGGTAAAGGGAGGACATTCCCCTGGAGGAAGGAAAGGTTTCCCCTTGACTGAAAAAGAGATCCAACACTTTGGCTTCTGTCGGTGGTGGAATGGCACACGTCCAAGCAATCCTTTATGAGAACCGCCAAAAAAAATCGGGACTTTAAATAAACACTCTGGATAACTAATTTTTGGCTTCCAACCAAAATGGAATAGAATTTGCCCTCCTAATAGGAAAAAAAAAAAGCTAACGATGGACAAAATGCATGAAGCAATGGTTTTCAAGACACTGGACATTAAGTAACAAAGGACAAGGATCCCTGGAGATGGGACACAAATGAGGTTTGCAATAAGATTGTCTCCAGTATACTGCTTACTGGAGAGATTTCCGGGCCACAGCACAGGAAGGAGGAAACCAGGTGGAGCCTGGCGGTCGTTCTGAGTTGAGGGAATGGATCTGGGAGCGCAGAAACGCCAGATGGCTGGACTTTACAGAGCAGAGAACCAGAGAAGAGAGAGCTACACAAAGAAAGAGTTCTGGAGATGTGCACTGGGTTCCCTTCGAGTAGTGTCCTGAGTACTGATGTGAGAAAACTACCCAAGGTTGGGGAAAGAATCAACTGGAAGAATTAGAGCGAACAGTACAGGAAGCTTACACCAGGCCAGGAATAGCTCCTGCCCCCAATAGTCAGAGTGGAACACCTCGTAATTCATGGAACCTAAAGTGACACATGCAGAAGGGTTTTGCCTCAAAAACAGGGCAAAATTATCACTAGACTAAACATTTCTCTGCTTCCAGAGAACAAAGCTTGAAAGCTAGACTTGAAGAGGTCTGTTTCCAAGTAATTTAAGGACATCTCAGAGAAAAGCATAAGAATTGATAGGACTACAAAAATATATAGTCCCAACAGGTAAAATTCAAAATATCTGGCATCCGATAAAAAAAACTAATGGGCATGAAAAAAGGAAGAGGAAACAACTCATAATGAGGAGAATATAATCAATCAAAACCAATTCAAAAATGATACAGGTGAGAGAATTACAAGCACAATATCATTGCCACAAAAACAGACATGGAAGGTATCAGAGCTAAATCAAACTTCTATGGATGAAAACTAAGATGTCTGAGATTAAAAAATACACTAAATGAGACTAATAATAGACTAGACATTACAGAGAAAAGACTAGTAAACTTGAAGAAATAGAAATAGAAACTATCTAAAATAAAACAGAGAGAGAAAAAAGACTAAAAAATATAGAGTATCAGTGAGCTATGTGACAACTTCAGGGAGGCTAATATACATGCAATTGGACTCTCCAAAAAAGAGACGTGAGAAGAAAGGAAATAGAAAAATTATTTCAAGAAAAAATGAAAAATTCCTAAATATGATAAAAGCTGTAGTCTCACAGACCCAAGAAAGTCAATGTACCTCAACAAAACTACAGTGCAGCACATAAAAGAATCAAATTAGCCTTTAAAAAGTGACAAAGAGAAAAACCTTAAAATTAGACAGAGAAAAAGGAACGTGTAAAGGAACAAATGTCAGAATGACAACAGCTACTGCTGGAAACATTATTCTTAAGGGAAGGAAAACAACTCTCACCCTGGAATCCTGTACCCAGGATTCAAAACAAGAGAAAAACAAAAAGGCTTAAATATATATTTTTAAAGCTGAAAGAATTGATCACCAGCAAACGTGAACTGTAAGAAGCATTAAAGGAAGTCCTTCAGGCAGAAGATAAATGATACCAGCTGGAGATCTGGATCTACATGAAGGAATGAAGAGCTCTGGAAATAATAAACATGGGGATAAATATAAAATACAGAATTAGGAGTATAAATGGATACATTTAGATATAAGTATAAAATTTAAATCCCCCCAAAGACATCTATTATTACATTCACTAGACCTTTCTGTATTTTGTCAGCATTTCTGGAATGTTTTCTGCCAGGCTGTTGGTTGTTTTGTGCAAGGTTGTCCATCTTAGCGAAGTTCTGTGATATGTTCCATTTGTTTTGTGAAAAATTCTACTACATGTTCTTCTCAGCACCTGAAACAGCAAAATACAGTATTTGTAGGGATCATTCTACATTCTTGTTAATTATATTGATCGGATTATGTTCTGTCTGCAGGGTAGACCAAGAAAGTCTGTGGGTAGAGGCTAAGATTAACCAGGGTCTGTGACTACAAGTCACAGCTCATGACCCTTGCTGCCTGTAGTAGAAACTCCATAAGTATTCACCATTGATGTTGCTTACAGAGCAACCAAAGTCTTGAAGTTTATAAATTTATCTTTGAGATAATTTACATATAAGATAATTCAGTATTTCTATGTGTACAATTCTAAATTTTGGCAAATGTGCGCAATTGTGTTAAATACCACCACAATTAAGATATACATATATTCATCACCCCAATAAATTTGCTGTTTCTTTGCAGTCAATACCCTCCCAACCCTGGCACCTGGCAAACACTGCTCTGCTTTCTGACACAATAGTTACCTTTTCTCGAATGTCATATGTATGTAATCATATGGTATATACTCTTTTATGTCTCTCTTATTTCACTTAGCACAGTGCCTGTGAGGTTGTTTTGTGTATCAGCAGTTTGTTCCAATTGCTACACATCCTCACCAACACCTGTCTGGTCTTACCAATTTTAGGCATTCTAGTGGTTGTTTAACGGTATCTCTTTGTCACTTTAATTTGTATATTTTCATGGGCTTATTTGCCATTTGCTTACCTTCTTTGGTGAAGTGTCTGTTCCAATTTCCTGCCCATTTTTTTTTTTTAACAATTGGGTTATTTTATTATTGAGTTGTAAAAGTTCTTAACATATTCTAGATACAAGCACTTTATCATATGTATGTTTTAGAAATACTCACTTCCAGTCTGAGGCTTGCCTTTTCATTTTCTTTATATTCGAGACTGTCTTGAATTTTCATAGAATGCTGGGGTTCCCAGAACTCAGTTTGAGAATTCCTGAGGCAGCTCACAGTTGTATACTTATAATTGCTATAAAGTCCCTACCTGTGTCAAAGCTGAATCATCTTCATTCTCTCCTTCTCTCTTTCTCCCTCTCTCTCTCTCTCTCTCTCTCTCTCTCTCTCTCTCTCTCTCTCTCTCTCTCATTCCACTCATTCTAATTCTAACTCTTAGAATAGCTTTGAATGAGTCTCATGCCTTTCACATTGGTGATTTTCAAAATTCAGATAATAGCCTGTCGGTTTTTTTTTCAGTTTTTGTTCATGTGACTGTTTTTGCTGGATGGTAATATAAAACACATTTCTTATCATGGGTCGCAGTTAAAAAGTTTTAAAACTATACTGTTCTATCTGACTATTCTTCAAGTATCTGAACACAGCTGTCATATCCTGCCACCTAAAGATGAATCCTCTTCTCTACAAGAGACCTCTTCAGCGTCTGCAATAACTCCTTGTAGCATAGGGATTGCTCCCCTCATTGTACTGGCATCATCCTCTGGCCCTGTCACTAAATTCAGCTGGGTCTCTGCTCAAAGCTTCGTAGGGATGACTTCCTTGACCACTCTCAAGAAGTACCACCCATCTTTCTCTAGCCCCTGACTTGTCTTATTTTTCTCAAAGCATTTTTCATCACCCAACGTTTTATTTTATGTGTATTATTTTCTTTATGATCTTCCTTAATACAATGTTCATCACCGAATCCCCAGTCTGTTTCCTGGCACATAGTAATAGTTGCTCAATAAATATTTGTGGAATGAATGAATACACATTTTCGACACATTTTAGCGGTAATATACATAGATGTACTCTTTCCTTCAGGAGCTACATTCTATAAAGATTTAACTCCCATGATTACAACTATAGGCATGTTTTCATTCTACCATCTCTATAATTAAATAAAACCTTTATTATTTATGTTATAGTATTATTACATATTTTATGCATTTATACATGTATGTTACTGTACAGGGTATATCAATATATACTAAATCATATATACTCTTACTTTATGGGATTTGCATGAGTAGTTTTGACTATATGAGATTTTTATCGATTCAGTGATAATACTACGGTGCATCTTGGAAGTAATTTACATTTTCAAAGCACTCTTAGGTAAATAATCCATTTGATATTTTTCATAAGCTGAGAAAACGTGTCAGAGAGCCGGAAGAAATTCTAACATCCTGCTAACGACCCCTCGATTCTAATCTCACCCCATTCATTTTATGGATGGCCAAACCGGGGCCCGGAGAAGGAAAGACATTTGCAGAGGACCACCTAAGGACCTGGAGTGGACCTGGGATTAGAGTTCAGCTCTTTGTCATGCACCCACTGCGTGACACTGCAGCCCCCAAACGACTGCATACAAGCAGAGGCTGAGGCAGGGGAGTCAGATGCCCACGTCTCTAACAGAAGCTCCGTGGGAAAGCATGCCATGATCATCATCATCATCATCATCATTTTCCAGGTGGGAACTCTGAGGACATAACTCCAGAGAGGGGCACCTCCAACGGTAGCTTCTTCCAGCCTTCAGGGCACCATCTAGTAGGCACCGAAATTTCGCAAGCACCAAGCAAGCTGGCGTCTCAGTGGGTATCCCATGGAGTTTACCATGTCCTCCTCCCCACGCCCCCGAGACCCATGCCCAGACAGGGACTGCGTCCTACCTCATTGGGTCCCCCTGGGCTGAATCTGGCCCGCCCAGCTAGCTTCCCCGTCGCTATGGCAACCACAAGCCTAACATTCCAGAGTCTCCCTTCAGTCCGCCTCCTGAGTAACTCTAGCCAATGGTGTCCTCTGTTTCTTTAGCATGGAAAAAAAAAAATCGTTGGCCAATCGTTAGGGGCGTTTCAAAAACAGCAGGAAAGCTGCCAGAATTTTAGGGTTCAAGTTAACTGTGTAAGGACCTGTGGGGAAACTTAACAGAGGCTTATCTAGGTGACCCGGCAAAAATCTTGTGATAGACCAAAGGCCTTAGAATTTTGCTCACCGAGAAATCTTACTGCAAGGAATAAACCTATGAGAACTAACAATCATCCAAGCCCTGTTTACAATAGCAAAAGAAAAGAAAAAAAGATTGATAGGGACAACTATACAAAGGCAGCCATGTAATGTTCCACGAATCCCTCTTTACACGCTTCAGAGCGGTCACAGTCACCTTGTCACTTCCCTGCTTAGAGTCTTCCTACGGCTCCTCTTTTAAACTTAAGATGAAATCAAAACATCTTAATATAAACTGTCCCTGGCCCGTCCCTCTGATGGCAGCTCCTACCACCCACGTTCCAGAAAATTCTCGCACCAGCCGCTCTGTCCTTTGGGTAGTTCCTACAATATACATCCTCGATCTGCTATTAGGTGTTCCCTCTGAGCTCTCTCTCCTTCAGGATCTGAACCGTAACTGGCTCTTTGTCATCATTGAGGTCTCTGCCCAAATGTCATTTCTTCATCTATAAAATGGGATGAGCTCAGTGTCTCACTCAAAAGGTGGTTGTGAGGATCTGAATGATGTGTGGAAGTGAAAATGTGTAAGCTCCATGTTTGTGTTGATCATTACAGTTGTACATTACGGAAACATCAGCGATAGGCTCATTGGAAGACCTTGAGTGTTTCAGAGCCGCGGATGTGCTGGCAGGGTTGGTATACGGAGCAGCCAACAGGTGTTACGGAAGGGCAGGCAAAGATATGAATATAGCCCCGAGACTGTGGGAACTGGATCTTGAAGGATGTGTACGATTTGAATACGCGGTGAGAGCATGGAGTGGGGAAACAGCAGGAGAAAAATCCGGAAGGTAGCTCTGAGGATAAGGAGGGAGGACACCTGACAGTCTGCCCAAGTGCCGGGCAGGTGGAGGTGAGCAGTCACCTGAGCTCTCCAGAACAGCAGCAGGAGAGGAGCAGGGTGTTTTTAAACGTCCTTCTTGTGGCCGCTAGAGGGGACCCCCTCCAAGTGAGCGCAAAACACCTGCGAGCCTCAGCCTTCTCAAGTCTCTACTCCTTACGCTTCAAGCAAGCTTTGCGGCGCAGCCAAATTCCGAGGATGTCCCGCCCACCAAGCCCCCCGCAGCCACTCACCTGCGCGAAGTGCCCGCCGGCTTCTGACTGGCAGGCGCCCAGGCAAATCAAATCACGGCCTTTGAAAGCAAAACACTGCAGGACCGAGGCAGCACTGAGTTGGGGAAGGAATTCTGGAGGCTGTGCCTCCGGGTTGCCTGAGGAGTCCAAGTCATTTCTCAGAAACCTCTGATAGGTGGGCCTTAGAGCAAACGCCGCCGGTGAGTAGTGATTAAGACTGAGGGAGGGGGGACTTGAATTCAGCCTTCGTTTCGGGAAAAGCGAATGCATTTGTAATCATCTAACGTCTCCTAGTATAAATACCCTTCCTTCTTGCTGTCACCAGCCTTGTCAATTTGGGTCTCGCTGCCTCAGAATGTTTCTTCCATTTTTGCATCGAGGGTGAGAGGACCGAGGGCATGGTTTTGCCTTAATAAATGCGATGCCAGCCTTTACCAAATCAGGAAGTAAAATGGAGTAACTTTGCCAAAATTATTCCTCTGCACGCCGGCTCAGACTTCCTGGCAATAGCAGATGGTGGAGTTAGCTGGAGAAATCAGAGGAAGCATTCTTGACCCACACTGCCTGCTGGAAGTTGTAGTTTCCAGCTCACTGGGAGGAGACTGAAGAGTGTAACCCTTTAGTGAGCCAAAACCCAGGAAAGGAAAAGCGCTTGGCATCTAACTGGCACTCACCAGGTAGAAGCTGAATCGTCAGGTGGTGGGAAAAGGTACGTTTTATCTATTTTTTCAGATAGAGCCAAATTCTAACACAGACCCTACTCTTAGCAACCATGAGCTATGGTTCTATCATCTGTAAAACCTGCTCTGTGGGTTGGTGAAATAATTCTTTGAGATAAGAGGGACTGGGTGGAGTGGAAGCAATCACCTAGTGAATTATCTTTCCTTTCTGGAGGACTCTGGGCTCACAGGTGGCTGTGCCCACCTCAAAATTAAGGGGTGGCTGGCAATGCAGAGTTGGTTACTTGCCTCTTGGGTGTATGTTAGTCCTGGGAAAGTACTTGGAAGTCAGGGAAACAGAATCACTAGGCAAAGAATGTGTGCCTTATAAGGGAGGACAACCTCAAAGTGTTTCTCTGAGGCTCTTAGTCCAAACTCCTACCCAGCTAAGGAAGAGCCTTCCTTTTGTGTAGGCAAAGCCTCAGAGGCCTGAGGGTTCCTGAGGGGAAAGCTGCTTTTTAAGAGTCAAGTAAATGATAGCAACATCCACCACCGTCACAAACAAAAGGGAAAACAAATCCACCTGGGCAAAACAGCTGGTCTAAAGGAGGTTAGCAGGCCTGGATTCCCATCTTCCCCTTGGCCTGTCCCCAAGGCCTATTTGCTTTCTCTGGTATCCTGTGGGTGGGGCGGGGAATATCTCTTGTATCTCTGTAGTTGTGGTTGATTAGGCCTGAGTAAGCCATTCATTCTTGACTATGAAGTGGCGATGGGGCAGACAGGCCGGCCTTTAGCCAGTCGATATATATGGAGGTCAGTATGCCAGGTTCAGGGCTAGATCTGGGGAGGGAGCAACTGAATAGGAGATGCAGCAAACATCTTCCCAGAGTTTGTGCTCCAGTACCTCTTCGGCTCCAGGTTGAAAGTCTCCCAGCCTCTCACAGAGACAGAGAGAGCCCTGGGCCACTCTTCCTTCCTAAGCCTATTGTATTAAAGATGTTAAAATAGGGATAGATAAATTTAACAAAATAATGGTTTTCAAACACGACTGAAAGTGATGAAATAATTATGCTTTTCAGAAGATTACATATATTTGTAGGGCTTTACAGTTAAAGAGGTCTGGTTATGAAATATGAGTTATAAAGTTGTCTGATGACTGTGTCTCATGTGTATATACACTGAAGTGTAACCTTACCTGGAGGCAGCAGAAATTATTTAATTTTGAGGCCCTTTGACAAAGTGAGACGTAAGCCAAATGGTCTTCATGGCTGCCCCTGTGCTACCCTGTGTCTGGTGTCTCCTAGATGCTGGACACAGTGTTACCCCTATGACATATGATTGTGCGATTCACACCAGGAACCAACATTCCTGGGTGCAGGACTAGATAACAGAAGAAACTGGAAGCTACAGGAAAGACAGGAGGAAGCTTTCTGAAGCCTTGAAGCACGGCAGAGACTGTGTTTGGCACATAATAAACCCTCAATAAATATTTGTCACATGAATGTATGAGATAAAGAAAGGAATATTCATGGTAAATTAAATAATTAAATCGATAAGAATAAAATTAATACTAATAGCAGCTGACACTCATTGACCATTCACTGTGCATGCATTTTACATGCGTGATTTCAGCAAATTCTCACCACAACCCTGTGGGGTAGGAATGTTATTATCCATATTCTACAGCAGAGGAAAGTGGCTGAAAAGTTAAAGGAGTTGCCCAGGGTGAAACCAGTAACACGTGACAAATCAAAAGCAATTTTAAATATTTTTATATTAAAACAAACATAGACATTGCAGTAGAATCCAAATTTATATTTTTTTTTGTTGGTGGTGGTGGTTTTTGTTTTGTTTTGTTTTGTTTTAATATAAGAAGAAACCCTTAGCATTTGTGGTAGGGCGGTTAGGATAGGCCACGCTTCCCAGAACATGAGGGGCGTGCTTTCTCGTCTCTATTTGGTAGAAAGTTTGAGACCCACTGAAAATATCAGTCCAATGAAGTTAACAGAATTGCCATCGTTGTTTGTTTTACTTGAAGCCATATTATTACCCCGCTTTACAGATGAGGCAACTGAGTGTCCCAAAGGCGAAGTGATCTGGTCACACAGGTCCTCTGGGACCTCCCAGGCCAGTGTTACCTTGCTGACCCTCAGTGGCTGCCTAGTTTTTCCATCTTCCATGAAGATAACTTATCTTCTCATTCTTTCTTTTCTAAGTTGGAACCCAGCTGGTTCCCTTTTCATGGCAGTGAGATTTTGGGGTTTTTTTGCGGTGGCGGGGGGGCCTGGAGCAGTAGACATTAGTGGTATTTTACAATGCAGAGGAGCCTATGGAAAAATTAGGACTTCAATTAGGATATGATAGGAAGGAAGCAGACAAGAGCAGGAAAGGGGATTTTTAAGGGCCAAGGAAGGAGGTTTTGAGGTAGATGAGTCAAATCTTTATTAAGGAGACCAAAGGCATGATATATCATTTTTTTAATGGCCTTATTTCTCATAGCCATTTGTGTTTTGTCCTAATGGTATTTTCTTCTCAGGTAACAAAGCTGGGCTCAATGTTTCACTGTACATGCATATTTAATGTTCTTCTCCACACTCTCCCCCCTCCCCCTCACCCCACCCCAGAGCACCATAAGAATCAGGAAAAGCATTCCTGGCTGGCTGCTTGGGAGAGACATAGAAACTGGCACTTTTCTCAGTAAAGGTGAAGAAAAAGCTGTAAATCAGCCAGAAGAGACTCGAAGTACTTTTTTTCAGCATCCGTCAGCGATGGCCAGAGGAAGGAGGTGAACACCACAAGGGAAGATGGCTTCCAGCTTCACCCCGCTTAGCAGCAGCTCCTGCTTCTGAGCCAGGCCCGCCATGGACGGGGCCCACAGCGCAGCCCTGCAGCTACAGCAGCTCCCGCCCACGAGCAGCGCCGAGTCCGTGAGCGAGGCTTCCTTCTCCTACAAGGCAAGAGCTTTTTTTGGTTTTGGAATTTTGTATTTTTCTAACAAGAAAGTAACATGGTATAGCATCAGTTAACAGATAAGTCCAGGGACCGTATGCCTATCACTGGCAGAAACAAGCAGCCCCTCCACACATACAGGAGAAGGTATAATCAAAAGACGTGTTCATTCAAATACATAAAAGTATGAAGGCAGAGAAATATTTTTAAAGAAATGCCATCCCACTTAGACGATTTGATTTTTTTTTTTTTTAAATCACCTACTCTATTACTTGTAAACAACCTTAGTTCATATTTCAGTATATTTCCTTCTTGTCTTCTTGTGGCATTACAAAAGGGAATCAGATTTTACAGAAAGTTTTGTATCGTGGTTATTTCACTTAACCTTCTTTATGGAATATCACTCCATGTCATGGAGTCGTGATTGGAAGCATGCTTTTTGAATGATTGCCCAAATTATCTGCCCCAAAATAATTTGACCTTCTGTATCAAAATTTGCTGGACAGTTCCTCTATTGTTGGATGTTCAGGTTGTTTCTAACCTGGGATGACTGTAAACAGGGCTGCAGCGATCCCTGATTGTGTGCTCCTTTGCTGTGCTAAGAATGGACTAGGCCCGTGAGAGGCCGTCTGTCTCTGGTCAGCGAGGCCACAAGTGCCAGAACATCAGGAATACAGAAAATAAGAAAATATTAATACAATTGGCCCTTAATGAATGGATGCCAAATAGACGAATGCAGACTCCTAGAAAACACAGAACATTCTCCCTGATGAAATTTCTAATAAGTTTCCATTTTAACCACAAATTAATTACTTATGATAGAAATATCTTTGTGCCAGAGCAAAGACAAATAAGTCACAGTGATTCTACCAAAGAACAAAGGGTTATGAGCTAACCAAAGTGCCAGGTGGGAAAAAGGGAAGAAGACCTGGGTTCAAGTCCCTAGCCTGCTCCTTCCTCGCTAAGTGACCTTGGCCTTGTGGCTTAATCCATCAGAGCTTCTGTTATGGGTAGAATGGTGGTAGTAATACCATGAAAAAGTACCCAGCCCAGTGCTAGGCTTATAGGAGGTGCTTGACTCAGAAACACCTTGTGGTTACAAAGAGGAACATTAAGGTGCACAGAGCAGAGGAAGGCGTAGTTAATTCTGCCTGGTAGGTAGGGGAATGGATTTCTAAGGAGAAGTTGTCTCCTTCCTCCTTCATTTTGTTAAGGCTATTTTGGTTGCAAGGAATAAAATTCCATTTCAGAAAAGCTAAGGCAAAAGTGGAAATTATTATTATAAGTCTGCAGGGTAGATCATGGAACCCAAGGGCAGGAAGGCCAGTGGGGTTTGGAAGGTGCTAGAACTCTTACATCCACCTTCAGAAGAGGGAAGATCTGACTGGCCCAGCTTGGATCTGGTGTCTACATTGGTCCAGTCAGTGGTGGCTAAGGGGGTGGGGCCACCCAGCAAACATGGTTTCTGGGGTTCCATCGCTGTAGGCAGCTCTCAGAGAAGAGTGGTCATGTGGGCTCAGCAGGCTGCCCCCAAATCATCTCTTACCTTTGGGGCAAGGAAAACATTAAGAACCCCAAGTCCAACTTGATCAGTGGGATGAAGTTGGGAACAAGCAGTTTGCCTTGAGTTGCAGCCCTGCCCTTTGCCCTACCCAAGTGAATGGATTCTGGTTACTGGGGGAGGGTGGCCTGTGAAAGAGAGGCCAACAGGCTGGGCTGCCCAGAAGGCAGCATGGCAGAGGGTCCCCAACATGGAGAGCTTTGCCTCAGCCCAGAATAGTCAGGCCTCAATTTCTTCCAGTTAGCAAATAGGCATTTCACATGAGCACCTATATATATTCATGCCTTTGCTGGGTGGGATGAGAGCTCTATAGATAACTGAGATATTCCTTCCCTGAAGGAACTTACAGTCTACAAGGAAGGTGGGAGAAGCTATTTCCATGAGTACCTACCCTTCAGGACAGAATTCGGTGCAAAAATAGATACAGCAGGGTTTTAAGAGCATAGCCTTTAGAATCAAAGAGACCTGGCTTCCGATCCCAGCTCTATCACTTTCTATCATTATAACTTGGAGAGCCAAGTAGCTCTTCTGTAGGTCAGTTTTAAATTCATCCTATAGGGCGGTTATGAGGATGACCTGAATTTATAGAGGAAACTGAAGCTGCCTGCACCATCCCATTTCTGCCTTGGAAATCCTACCCATCCTTCCAGCTTCAGCTCAAGTGTCAGCTTTTCCATGAAGTCTTTGTCAGTCTTGTTGGCCAGAAACTATAGGTCCTTTATCTTTCCTTCCATAGCCAATTCACAATTACTATAATAATCATCATCATAATCATTGCCGCTAACATTTGTTGAGTGTTTACTGTATGACGGGGATTGTGCTAATCCTCACGAAAGCCCTGTAAGGCAAGTACTATTAAATCCCTATGAGGAAACTGGCACAGAGAGGCTAATTAACTTGCCCAAGGCCACACAGTCAATAGGTGTAGTAAACCCGGGATTCCCATGGAGTTTGTGCTCTGCCAAACTCCTTGGTTTTATCTACTACTCCCTGCTGCGTACATATGCGAGGCATTCTGAGAGGCCCCTTCTCTCCCTGACACTGGTTATTAAATGTTGAAATGGCAATTGTGGGGAAGGTCATGCCTCACCTGCTGGAGAAGGTAAGCATCAGGAGCTGGCCTGAAACCAGGTTACTGGTGTAGCACAGCCGGGTAAGCCAGATTGCTATGTCTCTTGTATTTAAATGTGAGTAACCCTCAGAGCAAGCCAGAATGCAGTTTATACTTAACCGTTAGCAGTTTTAAGCCCAAGGGATTGTGGGAGGCCAGTTTAAATAACAAGTGATGACTGGCCCTGTCACCGTGAGATTTAAATAAAGGCTCTTGTTAGCAGATGTAAAGCAGACCTTGAAACAGGAGAGCTGAGCTGAGGTTTCACTTGGATACCAACATCCAAGCAAAGTTTCCTGCCTCTGTGACCTTCGGCTGCTTTCTGGGAACAGTTCATTTTCTTTCAGAGTTGTAGCTGATAAAAGATCAGTTCTTGGATCAGACTATCAGAGCCAGAAGGATCCTTAGAGCTATTACTAATAGTAATGATAATAATAAAAATGAAAATTATAAAAATAATAATAGTAACAGCTAGAATTGTTTTGTATTAAGTGCCAGGTAACGTTTCAACATGTGCCTTATTTCATATAACATGACAGTCCTACAAGGGTTTACAATCAGCTCCATTTCTCAGGGGGGAAGCTGAAGTTCCAAGAGCTAAAGTGATTCCCCTGAAGTCACTCAGTAGTAATTTGCAGAAGCAGGACCCCCTTTCATTCTCAAAATATCCTGGTTTTGACTATATATGTCCTAAATCTAGGGTTCCTGATAGTTAGGAGGCCTCACTACTTTCTTACCTATAAATGTTAGGGACCAAAGTGTTGGGGAGACCTGTGTTGATTTATTTGCCTTCAAAATTAGGATGGTCCTCCTCCCCTCCGCCCCGCCCTGTCACCTCAATTGAAATCCGATTAGGTGCGTTGCCTCAGAAGAATCCTCTCGATCTGGCTTTGTGGTGAAGGAACTCAAGAATCCGAGGTATCGCGCGTGGGTGAAGATAGTGGCCCAAGGCCTCCCCTGGGACCTGCCCATCAGCGAGAACACCATTTGTTTCAGTCTGCATCTTCTCTTGAGACTGGACAAAGTCACTGATTCCGAGGTCAAATCCCTGTGTGTCGTAATGAGGACTTAACACTTTAAGTGAACGACTGTGAAAACCGCTAGGGTGGTTCCTCAGCAGAAAGAGGAGCGAGGTAGGTTGAGGAAATTCCAGCGGTGTCCAGGGTGTGACACTGACTGGGCACTACCCTTCTTTGCTCCCTGCCCGCAGACCTGGACACCCCCCTTTTATCCTTTCAAGCTCCGAGGTTTGGAGGAGGAACTTAATGTCAGGGGTCCTCCAGATCGTGGCCTCAACTCTGAATTGCCCTTTGCCAGACACTGGGGGGCGGCCAGTAGGTGTGTGTTCAAATTGTGTAACCCCCACACCCACCCCGCCAGAGGCAACTTCTTTGCTTGACTTTAAATGCTCATAAAATGGAATCAATCACTCCTTCACAAAGGGTTTGGGGCATAATGAGTGTTGGTGAAGCCCTTTGAAACTCTTGGATGAGAGAGCATTGGTTATGTTTTGCTAATAACTCCGTCTGTCTGTAGCCAGTTATTATGTGTGGAGATGAATATGCTTGTGGACATGGCTTTTGAAAGAAACCACAGCTGCCTGTGTCATTTGTGGGAAGGTAGCACTTAAAGATGGGGTGACTTTTTTCCTAATTTATTTTTATTTACTTCTTTTCCTAATTTATTTTGAATCCGTGGTCTGGAGTAGTTATTATCTCCAGGAGACTAGAATTCAGACCTCCAGCTTCAAATCCTCCCATTCTCACCTTGGGCAAGTTAATTCACTTCTTAGTTCATCGATAAACTCCTTCCGATGTATGTGCTAAAAATAGGAATCATAGTAGTACCCACTTCAGAGGGTTGTTTGTGGCCCAAAGGAGGTGATGCACAGAAAGGGCTTAGCGCCATGCCTAATATATAAATGCTCCATAAACATCAGCCTTTATTATAGTAACCTTTTACCATGTTCTTGCTGCTTAAATTGGCTTATCCCTGTGAGGCTTACAGTTTTCATTCCGGGGTTTCAGCCCTTCACTCCCCCCTCCCCCGGAAATAGTACCGACTTGTCTGTGCGGTTGCACAGTAGCGTGTTTCCCTTCATCTCTTCTCTTCCACTTGACGTTTTTGGTGGATTTCGTCAACATCTCATTAGAAGACAGCTGGGCCTCTCTGGGTAAAATACTACAAGGGCTACTGGTTGGTTATAGGTTGAAACTGCCACTTTCGTAGGTCAAAAATGGTTGAATATTGGCAATCTCATATAGTTCCCCCTAATACTAAGTGCTTTCTCCAGATTATCTCAGGAAGTCCTGCATCAGCCCTGAGAGAGAAGG